TATTGGATTTCATGAGATTCGAATCGGACGTTTGTTGCGAATGGGTATTGTACAAAATTATCTTTGTTAGACTTTAGACCAGTGGTTCTCAAACGGCGGTGTGCTGCCCACAAGGAGGGCGTAGACAATTATTTGACAGAGCGTGAAGCAAATGAAAAATAAAAATATTTGTTTGATTTGATCTTGACGACTTATTTCGGATATTTACATATCTTTATTGTCTAGAGATTGCAGAGCGCCTGTTGTGCAGGTATCTTTATAATCCTTAGTGTGAATCCTTAATATCTGTTTTGTATAGCTTATTGTTAGCTAGTTATTTTTGAGGTGCGTGCGAAACTTGACAATTTCTAAAAAAGGGGGCGTGGCTTAAAAAGTTGAGAATCACTGCTTTAGACCAGGGGTGTGCAGCCTTTATTACAGCAGGGCCAAATAACTGGGCAACTGGGTGAATAATTATTCGTTGAAAAAGTCGGCTCTTTTAACAAGTGGCGTAATCAAAACGACTGTTCCCCGTGTATTTCGAGGCGATGTACATATATTTTTGATTTACTGTTAAACTCTATATGCATTTTAATTGTACGAAATTAAATTGTACTCTACGGGATTTTATATCAAACCTTGACATTTTTCTTTCGGCGATAATTAGGTCGCAAAATCGCAATAATACGTATCAGAACTAAATACAATTAGGCAGTTTATGTCATATTTTTATGTCCACAGGTTGCCGCGGTATTTTGAAGTGGAAATGTTTTTATTTTAACATAACAAGACGCAACCGCGAGTTATGTTGGATACAATCAAATTATTATATAAGCACATTTTAGATTCTCGTAGTTGTCATGGATTGAATATTATACGCCACAGAAAAATCATTATACGCTGAGAAAGGCAGCTCTTCTAACGTTTAACGAGCGCGTAATCGCGGCAACTGTTTTCGACGGGAATGCGAATTGCCGATTTTGAAAATCCTGGCTGCACACGCTTGCTAACGTGTATTTGTTAAGAGTTTAAACCATTATTATAGTTTATACAAATATTATGTCCTAGTTTTGTTGCGGCTTAGGATGGAATAAGTTATTTACAGGTAAAATACGTCCCTACTTACGTAATTTTCTACACACGGAGGGGCTCCCGGAACGAATTAATTTCGTAGGTAAAGTTTCTACTGTAGTGGCAAGCACAAAAAATTGTTTCTTTTTGTTTATTGATCTTACGGCATTGTTGGGGTCTAACAGAAATGTTGAGTTAAAACGCATAAATTGAAAACTGCTATTCAAATTTATTGTCACACCGAATTTAAACGAATTCATTGCGAAAACGCTTTTATAACATTGTGTATTTGGCCCGCGGGCCGCAGTTTGCACACCCCTGCTTTGGACAGTTGAAATGAAGTAGGCCTACAGTATCGTTTTCCCTCTCCAAACAAATTAGAACTTCTCGCTAAATTGTTTATGGTTCAACTCATCATCTAATATTCATCCACAATCTGTTAAATGGTGACGACAGTGCTAATGACGTGCCTTGCACATATTGGGAGGAATAAAAAATATTGCTGAACAAAAAAGAAACAAATAAAATGATTATTCATGATGTCACCTTTTCAAGTCTTCACGGTGTTAGTGGATAGTGAAATCATCTGTTCGACAATTTCCCCGGTAATGCAGTAGCTACGCAATATTTTGTGCACTGAATGTTTCTTTCTAGCACATCCACGATTCCTGCATCAGACTTTTCACTGATCTTTGTTTCCTGATTGCCTAGATCAGCGTTTTCTAAACTTTTTCGGCCACGGAACACTTCCACTTTCTATCTCAAATGTCAAAATTCTATGTCAAATGCGGGGCTAAAACTAAACAGAATTATGTTAAAATACTTAAAATATGATTGAATTTTTTTACATGTTGCATTTATTATTAATGTTTCGTTTCTTGATTTAAAGGGTGTGTATATGAATTAATAAATTCATTTTACCATTCTATGTCGTTTACTCTCCATTACGTAGTGTTTGCCTCTAATGTTAAGTCTAATGGAGATAGAAGTTTCACTTGTTATCGAAAATGCCACTATCCCTCTCCTGTTAGTACGATTTAAGCCGATGGTGACGCGATATCGAACGGTCAGTTGGGCGACAACTCCACGTTCCATGGATCAGGGCTTCCCAAACTTTTGAGCTCGCGATCCCTTTCAATATATATATATATTAAAAATTTTCGCGGCCCTTGTCCTCGTTAATAATGGTAAACAGTTCGAAATATGCGATTTTGATGTTTTGTAAAATTGGTGTTCTCTTTGCGGCCCTTAAAATTCGTTTAGCGGCCCCTAGTTTGGGAAGCCCTGCCATAGATCTCCATGGCGACTATTTAAGACGTTTTTTTGATTCCTTTTCCACGGAACACTTCGAAGATGCTCGCGGAACACTAGTGTTCCGCGGAACACAGTTTGGGAAACGCTGGCCTAGATAAACATCTATTGAGGGAAACGAATTCCTCTTTTCGATTCGGGCTAATCTTGTGTGAGTGCATCTAGCTGGGAAATGAAAATTATTTTATCATATTCATTCTGTAATTTATTTGGGCGTGGGGCTTTCCCCATTGATCGCCGACCAAATATGTGTTCGCGTTGTTGCGATTTTTAATGCACTGTTAGTGTGATTAATGCTGTCTTGTGATATTTCAAATATACTGTGTGAACAATATATATTTATATTTATATGTTTTATCCATTTTCCAGAACAACACAAACAAATTACTGGCATACCCCTTTTCCAGTGGTGGGATTCAGTCGGTTCGTACCGGTTCTATAGAACTGTGTCACACGGTTTTTATGAGGTCACCGAACCGGCTAGCATTACTGGTTACTGTCAATGTTCTGTTTGCAACAGAACCAGCTGATAAATATGACTTTTGTAAAGAAACCAGCTGACAAAAAATTTGAATTCTACCACTGCCCTTTTCCCCTAAAATAAGACCTAGTCTGAATTTTAAAAATAATTTTAATATAAGTCCTCCTCCTAAAATAAGACCTAGTCCTTAGCGCGACTTTTTTTGACGCAGTGCACATTAATCTAGTGCAGCGTTTCCCAAACTTTTTTGTCCATGGAACACTTGCACTTTTCATCTCGCCTCGCGGAACACTAAAAATTGAAAAGATAAAATTGATAAAGAAAAACGGTGTAATGTGACCGCTACTCAATCTAGTGGCGAATTGCCAAATGCGCCACGAGAACAAACAGAATTGTGTTAAACATACCTAAAAAATGACTGAATGTTTTGCATATTGATTAATGTGAATGTTTTATTGTTGATTAATTTATATACTGTGTATATAAATCAATACATTCATTTTACCATTCTATGTCGTTTACTTTCTATTACATAGTGTTTGCCTCTAATGGAGGTAGAAGTACTTGCTGCAGTTTATTTATCCTTTTGAATAGAGTTTGGCCAAATAAGAAATTAATTTAAAGTAAAACCAGTCAAAAATGAAAGAAGAATAGCGACGGTTATCAAAAATTACACTACCTCACCCTTATTGGTCCACTTTAGGCCGACGGTGACGCAATATCGCCGGTCAGTTGGGCGGCAACTCCACGTTCCATAAATTGCCATGGCGACCCTTTTGGAAGTATTTTTGATTCTTTTTTCACGGAACACTTCGAAGACGCTCGCGGAACACTAGTGTTCCGCGAAACACAGTTTGGGAAACGCTGATCTAGACTTGCAAGCCATTCCAGAGGATGATGATATGGTCATTTTTTGAATAATCTATGTTTAGCAGTTTTTTTTAAATATGAATGTGTTATTTATAAGTAATTGAATATCGGTTTTCATATTTTGTATATTTGAAAAGCTCGTAGTTCTCTACTTTGTAATTTTGTTTTTAATAAATAAAAATATAAGACACCCTTCCCCCAAATAAGCCCTAGTATTATTTTTCTAATGAAAATTGAGATAAGACCCTGTCCTATTCATTTTCGGGGAAACAGCTTAATCACATATATCAAACTTTGGGCCCACGATTATTCTCGTCTGGTTAAGCAAATGACACTAATACCAGCACAGAGAAATTTCGTAAACCCAACGTTGGCATCAAATTTTCCGGCTGCTAGAATGTCATTCAGAATGTGATTCAACAGCGCCAACGCGCGGACGCAATATGATAGCGTCTCCGCCGCGCCAATGCAAAATTCCGGACAGTGAATGACTATTTTCATGACTGTTCTGTATTAGCAGTGTGCACAATACGATTGCAATTTGCAGCAAAATTCCGGATTCCGGACATTTGAGCATTTTTTTAAATTCTTCCCGTACGCAAAATTTAACCCTAAATTCCGGAATTTTCCGGACGGTATGGCAACCCTAGTTGATAGGTATTTGTCTGTTAGATGCACGCGATACGGTATCTCACGAAGGCGCGGTTGAATCTGCTCCAAATTTTGCATGTGCATTCATCATATCTCGGACCAGAAGCCTATTGATTTTGGATGAATTATGTCGTATAATCAGCGACTTATTAATTAATTAGTGATGGGATACGCGGTGTCACTATAGAGTCATGAATCAAAACCGCAGTTTCGATCGATAAGTCTTCGGTCTCCGACTGATAATCTCGTTTCTGTATTTTAGTGATTCCTATAAATTTTCCTATTTTGCATCTTTAGAGTTAAGTTAGATCACCCTTATTCTGTTATTAGATCTGTGTAAATTACCTGTGCTCTAACTAATAAGTTACCAGTACCTATCACTGTATCAAGCAGGAGTTTGCAGTCTTTGATCACTGGATCATGGGGTTTCGGATGGAATTTTTTCGAATGGTGGTGTATTTGTCATTTCCTGCATCACTCTTCTATCTTGCAAATCGTCCATCCGTTTTTGAAAAGAATGTGACTGCAATGTTCCAAAGGGAACAACAATTTAACAGAACTCCTACAAGGGAACAAATTGAAGCAAGACTAGAACAAATAAGAACAATTAAAGAACAGAATTTGCAAAAGTAGATGATAAATGGAAATATATTTTGCAGAAATATACATTCTGACATTTGTTGTTGATTGTTAAACAAGGATTATTGAATATAGAATGCATGGGAACTCGCTAATGCAGTAATGTAATGCTACGCTGAATGACAATAGTATGGCAAACCCGTTTTCTATGTCGATAAATCTGAAAATAATGACTTCTGTTTTCTGTGCTTCATCATACTCTAATAACAGTAATACAGGATGTTTCCTGCTTGAACTTTTACTTGCTGTGTTTTCAACATTGTGACATTATAAAGTTTAGGATTTTGAAAAATGAATGCGAAATATTTCTAATAACCACAGAACTGCAGAAGGTATATATTTCATACCTATCTTTTCCTGTCTTGTACTCTTAGTATACTGGTATATATTGAATGAGTTGCATGTTATATTCATTATCTCACATAAAGGATTTTAGATAAAAAATTATTTCCCCTACTTTGCGAATGGTGCTTATGATATCTGGATATACCCATTGTGTGGTATAGCCTACTATCATACATGTGCCATTCTATATTTTTGATTTAAAAACTATTTAAGTAATGCTAAATTACTTGAATGAGTTTAATAACCTAATAAAACAAACTTAGTCTCAAACTTACTTGAGAATAGTCTTGTAACCTGGAACTCTTGTTGCATACTACTTTAGTTTTATCACCCATATTCGAAAATTATAGATAAAGTATCTATCAGCTTAGTAATTTGGATATGGATTAGTGTTTGCCAATGTTCCCTTTTCGACTCTTTTTGCACTTTCAATGACATAAGAAACCTTCTCTATCTTTCGTGTGTTTTATAGGTTTTGGAATACAGTTAGAAATTCATGTCTAACCTTCGAAAAGCTGCCACTTTATTTATCGGTGGTACTGGCTTATTCATCACATGGGAAATATTGAATGGAAATCCGAAAATGTATTCGAATCATCTGATGCCTATTCTTCATGCAACCATCCCACCTGAGAAAGCTCATCTTCTAGCAATAAAAACTATGAAATATGCAAGGAAATCCAATTTTCATGATCCTGATTGTCTTGAAACAGAAGTATGGGGCAAAAAGTTCTCCAATCCTATAGGAATTGCTGCTGGATTTGATAAACACGCTGAAGCGATGGAAGGTTTATCAAATATTGGATTTGGCTTTGTTGAAATCGGTAGTGTCACACCTTTGCCCCAAACTGGCAATCCACTGCCGCGAGTTTTTCGCTTATCTGAAGATAAAGCCGTTATAAATAGATATGGTTTTAACAGCCATGGACATGAAGCTGTTTTCGAACGATTGAAAAGATGGAGACAGTCTGATACAAGTACGTTCCTGGGTGTAAATTTGGGGAAAAATAAAGACACTGATGACCATGTGAAAGACTATGTGAAAGGTGTTATAAAATTAGGGGACTTTGCAGACTACATTGTCATTAATGTATCTAGCCCTAATACTCCTGGGTTAAGAAAATTACAAGGGGATAAATATTTAAAAGATTTGCTTTGTGCAGTAAATAAGGAGCGAAATTTGTTATCACGAAACCCTAAACCTATCTTGCTAGTTAAAATAGCTCCTGATCTTGAATCGAAGGATGTAGAAGATATCTGCAAAACAGTTACATGCAATGAATGTGGTGTTAATGGCCTTATTATTAGTAACACAACTGTTCGACGCCCAGATACTTTAACCAGCAAACATAAAAATGAAATTGGTGGACTCAGTGGGCCTCCTGTAAAAGAACAATCAACAGAATTGATAAAAAAAATTTATTCCATTACTGGAGGGAAGATTCCTATTATTGGTGTAGGTGGGATTTCGAATGGTCACGATGCATATGAAAAAATTAAAGCTGGTGCATCACTTGTACAATTTTACACTGCTTTAATATATCAGGGAACACCTGTATTGAAAACAATCAAAACAGAACTCGCTGAATTGGTAGAAAAAGATGGCTTCAATAGTGTTAAAGATGCGGTTGGGAGGGATCATCATTTGTAATCATTAAATACTATTGAAGTTAATTAAATTTAGGCAGTAATATTCACAACACAGCTACATGGCATCATTGAATGGGCTAATTGTATTTAGACTCTTGTATTTATGCTAAGACATTTGGAGAAGAATTCTTTATTGCAACTTTGTTTTCTTTGTTTTGCCCATGTTTTGAACAAAATGAGAAGCAGTAGCCACTTAACAAAAAGGAAACCTCAAGGGCATGTAGTGCAGCATGCAATATTTTTTCTTTTTTGTAATCTTTGTAAATGTAAGATAGACATTAAGTAATCTGCTAATCTAGAATTAAATAAATTTAAAAATTCCTTTTTTTAATGGAAAATAATATGGTTCTCTTCTCTTTGCCAAAATGTGCATTCTAATGTGTTGAATGTGGCCTGCTAATTTTCTGGTAAGTTGTCAATTCACAAGAATCAAAGTATTTGAACCACTGAACTCTGTTTGGTAACACTTTGCAAAATATGCAAGTCAATATTTTAAGCCAATAATGGCGGACTTTGATAGCTAAAGAACATAAAAACTTGTATCTTAGTTGTTTAAGATAATGCTCACATTTGTTATCTTATTTTGATTATTTGCAACTTTGTGTAATCATTGGTGCATGGTTTGATATTTCAATCATCATCATTTGTTAAACTAGGACCAGCTTGGATAATGTTGACTTTTAAAGACATATATGATAATTCATCATGTTTTATAAACAGATTGATTATTGGCTTATTAACAAACGAACATGACTTAAAAGGTAAAAAACCTACTTTCACGTAGTTACATTTTTCTGCATTGCACTTGATCAACACACTGCACCGATGAGTTCTGCTCAGAGTTTTCTTAATTTGCTATGGAGTATCCCGATATCCATTTTACCAAAAGGATCAAATATTTCAAAACGTAGCGTTCTGCTTGTAACATCAGTGGGAGGATTGTTTGCTTTGCTTGTTACAGCAGTTTATATGAAAAGGTAAAATCAAATTATTTTGCTCCTATTCAACCATACCCAATTATTATATGAGTGTTTGTAACAAGACTTGAACTTGAGTCTATTGACTGACATTCAGACTAGCTGGAGACTCAAAGAGCCTGTCATGCATGTGCAACCAACACTGTGCTTTGGGTATGCATGATATGATATTTATGGTATGGTTACTGTGGTATATTGTTAGTCATTTATGGCACTTAAAATTGCTACTGCAGTTTGACCATTTGTTATTAAATTTTATCTCTTCTGACATCTTTACGTAATATAAAGTCACATGCTCACAGCTTGATTTATACCTCTTCAGATAGATCTCATTTAGGTGTAGCATGTTTTGCTCTGGAAAATGTATCAATGACTCGTTTATACATGATGAGTACATTTGAATTTTATTCATATTACTAAGTACTAAAAACCTATTAAACTTTTCTCCATGCAGGAAAAGAAAATCTCTTCCTTCTATCAATCCAGACCCAGAAGCAGATAAAAATGGAAATTTTGTTACTCATGTTCGAGCTGGAAAGCGTAGGAAGAGACCAAAGTCAAGAAGACTCGATCTTGGTTGTGAGTCCTTTTTTACAACATTGAAGCAGAAGATAAACATTCATTAATTAATAGTAGATAGCATGTAAAATATAGTTGGAAACTGCAATTGTTGTGATGTTTTTCAGTATTTCATGTCCAAAATACTTGAATTCAGTAGTGTTCAACCATTTGGTAAACTGTAACCCAGATGAAACATTGGAGAGGCTGGGGTGACCCTTGCGCAATAGTTTTGTCGGAGTTGTATTGAAAACAAACTTAATTATAAAATAATTTTGTGGCCCTCGGAGCCGACAACCTTGGACCATTCTGATCTAGGGGGTCTGGATGCAGGATTTGTAATATGCTCGTTATACTTTTGTTTTATAGTTTTAAATGCGGCTGGAAGTGGGAGAAGTAGCAGAGTTCAATGTAGATCACGCCGTGTTAGAGATAATTCTGTAATGTCTGAATCAAGCACAATATCATCTGTAAAGAGCAGCACTTCAAGGTAATTAATAAGGTTTGTTTGTCATAGTTTTTCATGAATAGATCAATCACCAAACTATGGACAGAAACGAGTTTAAATGTTACATGATCAAATATTGCTTTATTTTTTTTTATACTTTTGCTGTTGGAAACTTTCTATCCCTTTTTAAAATGAGATAGCATTTTTCTCTCTTCTGAGTTATAACTATATAAAACATATAGGTTATATAAAAAAATTAAATTACCTAAAAAATAAAATAAAATTTGAAATTATATGCCTAGTGCCCACACGCTAATAGCTGGGCAAAATAGAATAATCTAATTTTGCATATGTATTCAAAGAATATTCTTAGTCGCGGTATATATATTTTTATTTGAGTTATGCTGATTAAGAAATATAATGTTGAAGTCGATGTTATTCTATTAACAGCTGTATCAAAATTTTAAATACAAGTGCCTAAAATAAAAAGTTGGGTAATGCAGAAAAGATGAGATGAACACTGGTTTGCTGGTTGTGTATATTTTTTACTATTTGTTTAGAATTTTTGACCATGCCTCAATATGACACCATATTTGTTCAAAATAATAGATAATCTGATATACCAATGTTTTCCCTGCTTGATAAATTATGTTTTTTTAAAATAGGCACAGTCGACATCTACCAGTTCCTGGTACAAAAGAATATTACGATGCAGAAAGACTCTACAGAAAGGGTAATTATTTGACTTCTGATCTGGTAAACTCTAACATTTTTTGTGATCTCAGTAATCAATTTACATAATCATTGTAGGTGTTGATGCATTCGAAAGCGCAGTATTACAGTGGGAAAGAGCAAGTGCTGTATTTGGAAGTGAAGTATCTGACGTGTAAGTAATTCTATTTTTCAGTAATGTTTTCCTGTTCGTTTTGATGTTTATTTATTTTTGATGTTGTTGACTATGCGATAATGAATCTTTTACCATTTGATGCAATGGCTAATGTATAACACTATGCATTAAGAATAGGCTTTCCATTACCCTGGCTATTCCATGCATGTTTCTGCATGCTGCAGTGCAGGACTTCCTAAACTGTGTGCTAAAGCAATATAGTTTTATGATTTAACAAAATGTTTCATCCTTAGTCCATATTGTATTGATTGTATTTAAACTTGTTATATCAATGCTACATATCAATTATTAATGTTATTTTGGTAATAAACTTGAGGTATTAGGTGCGTTATATTGCGGATTTTAGGGAGATCAGTTGTCATAACTCTTAGTCATTATAAATCGTATGAAAGCGTATGTGCCATGGGCATGGCCAGATTCTCAATTTATTAGCATGTTGCAACGAGTAAAAGTTCAATATAGTGTGTAAGCACTGCTGTGATGGTGGATGGCTAAGTGTGAGAGGATTACTGTGCTACTCAGGGTGGTTCACATATCCGCTGGATGGCTCAACAACTGGATGCTATCCAAGCGCGTATATCTGGAATGAATAATTAGTTGGCTAGACTGTAATCGATTATTAAGGGATTGGGGAGAATCATATGATTGGATTAATTATTAGCTATTTTTATCCAGAGATCAATAAGAAATTTGTATCCTGTTCCTAGAAACAATCGAAAAACTAATGGTTTTCATGTGTACTATTTAGTATCACTTTTCTGACTGTTCTTCTGAGTGCACTAATTATCATGTACAAAATACTGACAAACAAAGTTGATATTTATATGTAGCATTGAGAACATTACACACAAGTTTCATTGTTGCCGGTTTGCACATCGTGCTAAGTGTTAGGAATATGCTTGCCATTGCACCTCTGATTATCCTGCGCGGATTTGCACATTCAAATCCAGTGAAAGATAATTACCGTATGTGGTAGGGGAAACCTATCTTATTTTTAGCAAAAAATACATCATCATGATAAATTGCTAACATCTTTTGTTAGGTCTTCCACACAATCTGGTAGAAGTAGTAGCTTATCTCATGAACATAAAAAGAATGCAATTTCTGAATCTAATCATTCCAGTAATACTCCAATCACCAGATCAAGAAAAACATCCATGTCGAGGTTAAGGTAACTCTTTACATAGTGTCCTACTCCTAGTAATAACTTTCTCCTGTTTGCGGGGACAAATCCACTCGAAGAATTGAGTGAGATTATGTTTGGTACAGGAGATAAATAAACATAAAATATCTCAGCTTTCATTATGTGATATTTATGGTTGCGAATTTGTTGTAATATTGCTCTATTTTCAAATATTGCCGAGATTTGCATCCAAACAACACCATCGTATTTGATAATATGTCTAATTTTTCTAAATGTAAAATCATGTTGATCGTGATATAGGCAATTTGAAATTGTTCATGATACATGTAGTGTGTATATTTTACTATTCTTTGCTATTCAATATCCCTACCAATACCAAATATGAGATATAAATAACTTGATTAGAGACAAATTTTGCTGAAAAACAGTCATTTTATTTGATCTAAACTAGGCGTGTGCAACTGACATCCCGCGAGCCACAACCTGATTGTGTCCCATGTCAACACTCAGAATTTTCTCCATTAGGAATAAAATCTCAACCTGACAGTTTTTTTGTTGAAAGACGCTCACATGGGTAAAATAGCATGTTTTTTTTGCTCCTGTGGCTGCGTTAAATATTTTGCCGTTTTGCCCAGTGCCTTCATTACTACAAGGATGATCGATAGCCTTTTCATTGTGACTTGTGTATGGAAAACAACAATTTTTTGGGCAGCCCAGCTTGATGTCTGAATACGATTATATGGCCCACCGGCACCGACAAAAAATGTTGCGCAACGTGGATCTGAACACTTATATATATTTTACCATCTAGGACGACAATAGAGGGATCATCGGTACCTGGATGTGATGATATAATTCCTGACTCTGGGGCTGCAGGGGACCAGATTATTATAAATAATGACCAAGTGGGTTGATTTTATTACAACTTTTGTATATGTAGAATTCTCTTTGATTAAGAAGTTTTAGTTAGAAGTAGGAGTGGCAAAAGTTTGCGATAAAGTAATAATAACCATGAAAATAAGTTCTCAGAATTCCTACTCAAAATAGGGCTGTTTGTATCAAAATTTTGATGGCACACCTTGAGTTTTTGACATATTTATGGTTGATATTTTAAAAAACTTTTATTCGAAATATTGAAAAGAAATAGTTTGATGCAATATTCACAACGATATTCATTCTTGTCATATTCTCAAAACAACCTCTCCAAGTATACTGCTCTTTTGGGTCAAAGCCCTCAATTTGTTGTAGCTATGTAGACCATAGATATAATACATCTCATAGTTTATTACAATTTGGGGCATAGATCTCAAATGATTCATTTTGTGTGTGGTCTATGAATTTCCATGCATGCTAGAATATGAAGTGATGAAATGGAACAAATTATTTCCAAGTTTTAACAGCCTTAAATACATTATATGCTGTAATTTTTGAAATTCTTTTTTAGTTACAGATGAGTTCTCCATCAGAAATTGAACAGAAAATTGCTTTGATAATGGAAAGAGCTGACAAATTGCAAAGAACATTTGAAGATGTTTTGTACAGTGATTCTGAAACAGGTTTGGATAGTACTTAATTCGTTTTCATCTCAGGTGCAAATATTGTTGTACTTCCAAAGCTACAGTTTACTCCACAGAATCACTAAAACTCGAGTGAAGTGTGTCATGCTATGTAGTGGTAATACTGTGATAGTAAGGATAAAAACACAATTTTTTTTCAAATTGGTGATATGGAATGCAGGGATTCAACTCTTAGAACAACAAAGAGAATGTATATTTGGGTATTAACGATTAATTTCTGTGAGTGAAATTACCAACAATCGAACTTGTTAATTATACAAAAGAAGGTTGATATTTGTAATATAAATAAGCCCGAAGAGGATTGTTATTAATGCTTACAAGAGAGCAGTGCCTTACTGTTACCTTTTTAGTCAATTTGCTTGAATGTACCTCAAGGTACCTATCAACATAAATCATCGAGAAATTGGCTCATCCAATATTTTTGAAATTGAAAAATTCAGGGTGGCATAACAAACTCAGCTCAAAGAAATATGAAAAATATCAAACTAATGACTTTCTAGCGGAAATTTGTGAGTTTATAAAGTACCAAAAATTTTACAGTGACTCACTGTTAGATGGAAGCCATGTTAGAATCACCATGCACAGTTAAGCGCACGAATAGCTGAAGCTTCTATAATACTTTGTGAAAAATAAAATATGACACAAAATATACTTTTTTCCACAGATGACTCCTTCAATATAGAATTTAGATTTAGACGTAATACTGAATATATAGTTTATTATCTATATTGCTTTATTAATGTGTAATCTCTTTATATTTGAGTTTATTTTTTTGTAGAATCTGACACTGATATTACATTGACTGGTTACGACGACCATAGGCTTTTTGAAATTGATTCTGATTCTGCTTCATTTGTTTCTGCCCAAGAGGTAAGTTGTATTTATTTATCTAGCAGAGCAACTGATCACTCTGCCGAATCATTATTTCTCATTTGTCAACGCCAGAATGGATTTTAGGTTTTCACAGCGTTTGTGATTTGATTTTATGTTTGTTTATCTTTGTGTGGTTAGTGGAAATTGTGTGCAAGCATTGTGCATACTGTGTTTTGAACCTAGATCCTAATTCACAGGCATTTCTTCATTCCTTTTTACTTTTTATTCAAATGCTTTGGTTGGGGATACCAAAATAATCTATGTCTATATTTTGTTGAAGTCATCAATTGTTACTATTGCCTGCTTACTCAGGAAAATGTTGCTGAAAACGAGGTCGCAAGTCAAAGTAAAAAGATTTCTTGAAGTCTGTTAGATCGTAATCAATTATTGTCATATATTTATGCAAATGCAAATATGTTTTTACTTTGTTATGACCTGTACCATTTATTGCATCCGGTGAAGAATTTGGGTTCAGTCATTGACTGGGCTTTATCGATGTAAGTTATCATAAAATTTTCAGGTTTGGGAAACAAGATCATTAGATGATTATCCTGTGACACAACATCTCGCTCTGTATGAAGCAGCATTAGAATATGTTGATATGGGACGAGTTAGATGCAGAACTATGAGGTATGGTTTGTGCAATTTTGCTTGCAGAGTGAATCCATATTGGATTTTAGCAGAATAGAAATTTGTTGCATTATTTTCCTATCTGTCTCGGGAAGACAAAGTCGACCCGCTTTATCATCTGCTGACCTAGACATCTCATTTTTTACTGGGCCAGGTAGGATATATAAATAGATGAATGGTTGTTCCCGATCACGGACTAGGATGGTAGAGGAAACCTGAGGCAATCAATAAGAGCGACACGCTCTGCGGATATGAGGAGTCCTACAATCCTTTTGCACATAGCTTTTCTTGGTGCTTTCGAAGTATTCGTACTAAGATGATGCACAACCTGAACATTGTATGTGTACCAGGTTAAGGTTGTGTGTCATCTTGGTACAAATACTTCTGGAGCGCCCTTTTCTTCACCTTACTGCTTCGCTATTCAATGGTGTGATTGTAAGCAGGTTCCTAATGCTTAGTACATTGCTCCTACTCTCTATTTTGAAATGCTAGATCAATTTTTGAGTTTTCATCAATTTTGTGTAAATACCAAAATGTGTATATTGGGAATACCACTCTCGATATATAACCCTCAAATAACAACTTTAAATTGTAAATTTATAGAATACAAAAATCTTAAATAACCTTATGATGATGCTGTTTTATGCTTGAATATAAAATAATTCAGTCAATAGTCCAAATATATGTTACCTGAATGTCTTTGAATTTTGTTTAGCGAAATAAATATTTTAATAAAAATGACAAACTGAATTCTTAAGCAATTTTTACATATTTGCATGTGAGGATATCTATTCTGAAGAATTTACCTCCTAATAATTAAGATTCTTATATTCTTTGCTAAATTTTCACCTATATTATTAAACTGTTTGTACTGCAGAATGACATATGGAATATCATTTCTCTCTGTAAGTGTCGACACCTTCTAATAGGTGTCAAAGATTGTAACTTTGTTATACTATGTTAACAATTCAATCTGTATTATTAGGTCCGATCTCCTTGAATGTTTTTCTGATGTAGAATTCCTCGCAAAACTCCACTGTGTTCGACAAGCATTAGATGTAAGTAATGTACCAGTATGATGAAGTATCTAAATTAAATATTCTATTGTTGAATAATTTGTAACCGGGAAGCTTTGTGACTGGTGCTTGATAAATCCAATTTAAAGTTTGGCTGTCTTTTGGTTTCAAATCTATATAATTCATATAAATCAATATAACAATAAATAATGATTTGCACATTGTCATATCCAGTTCAATAATCGACCTTTATTTGCCATTAATAAATTAAATCTGGAAATCTAGATCAATGTTTGGTACCTATACTGCCGGTTGATTTGAGTCACATGTCATAGCATTTTTGAGTCAATTCCCAGCTGTTTTTAAAAATTTTTTTCAAGTTGTGCTACTGTTGTTTCGGATTACAAGCCAGGCCAGAGTCATGGTAGGCTTCAACAACAACAATGAATTGGATAAATATGAACTCTTTTGACTCTAAATTCACATATTGTGTTAACGACCATTATTTTTAAAATGTGAATAAATTTAATTGATAATTACTTGAGTCTCTCCTATGCTGATACATTTACAGTAAGTTTGAAAATCTTGAGTCTTTGAAATCTCAAAGATTTTAGACACTAAAAATTGTATATTGCTTTGTAGTTGATGCTGGAAGATGTCACTGTTCGTGATTGGCTGATAGAATCTGGTCGTCTTATGATTGAACTTATATTAAAATCTGCAAACCAAAATGTGACTCCTTTCGTTGATGCTTTTTCAAAGCTGATTGAATATGTAAAGGATTCTGAAAATTGGCCACAAATAGAAGATGAACTGAATAGCAGAAAAGTAGGTTTAAATTGATTTCAACGTCTAAATTATTTAGTAATATGAAATATTGTACTTTTAACAAAGATATGCTCTAAGATAGAATGGTGACGCCTATTCACACTTTCCATTCCAAAATAGGCCCGATACAAGCATCATTTATCGATATGTGAGGAGCTGTTATTGTTTGAAAGGGTCAGAATCTCCCCAGTTTGGCATTACCTATCCAATTTATTACCACCTGGGTGGGTTGGGCACTTGGGGGGCATAAGATTTGAACCAGAGAGTAAGTCGACCACTTAATCCGCTAGGCCACCACGCAGTCCAAAGTTACACATAATATGAAAGTTTTTCCACACAGTTTTGTGTTGCCTTCCTCCCAATTTTGTATGTTTTGCTACAGTTTGTGTTGTTTTAATGTTTTTAATTTTGGTTGCCCCCTTGTTTTCAGTACATGTTAAGTAGGCTCTATATATCAATCCTATTTTATCAGGTCGTCTCAATGACATTTTACGATATTGTTCTTGATTTCATCATCATGGATTCATTTGATGACCTGGATCGACCTCCTAGTCAACTACTAACTATTCTCGGAAATAGATGGCTTGGTAATTCCATCAAAGAGTCGGTCAGAACTATTTGAATACTCATTCAATTTTTGAATAATGAAATTGTAAACATTGCTTTTTGCACTTTATAGTCTGGTATGGTCTTGTTTTTTCTTCCAGATAGTGTGTTGGTTCAAAGTATGTTAACGAGTTTTTACCGATTTTCAACATACTAACCCCATCATATCGTGAATCATACAGATAGATTAAATTCAGATCTTGCATGGTATATTTTAATACAAACCCCAATCCAAATAAGATTACATTGATAAATGGTCATTTTGAATTTATTCATTTTTCATATGTCAAACTAAGGATGTTACTGCTAATTTACCTATTCATTCCACTACATCGAATTTTATGGCTTTATTCAGGATATTGAAAAATTGCTTTCCTCCAAGGTGTGAATTTAAACATATTGGTGATCATATTCCATGTTCAGGCATTATCCACTGCTGTTTGGTCGGTTTTAAAAGCGAAGTCAAGAATGCTCAGATACCAGGACGGCTTCATTGCAAAATTTTATGCTGTTTCTGAGAGTGTAAGTCCTACTTTTGCATGGGGATTCCTCGGAACAGACGAGCAATTAAAATCAAATTGTGAAAAGTTTAAAGTGAGTTTGTGAATGATTTTCCTCAAGTTTTATTGAAGTACATTGATTAACGCATTTCCTTTGGCAGTTTGTTTGTTATATGCTTAGTTATGAACTGTCTGGTTTATTTTAATGTGACATCGTTCAAAAGGCGCAAGCCCAACACATGTTGGGAAATTGTTCTGTTCCATTCCACATATGCTGGCAATTGGGGAATTAAAATAAATTTTCAAAATCACCTAATATACATCTCATATTCTAGTGTCAATTTTTTGTATTTTATAACTGTTGATCATATCTACTTATTCCTTAATTCTTCTTTTCAGAGTGAAATCTTATCATTTCTTCGTGCTATGTTCAGCTTTGATAAAGTTCGTTACACTACTAAGCAACAAATGGCAGATGATATATTGAATTTGGCAAGATACAAAGTGACAAAATTAGTGGCATACTTTGAGACACAACAAAGGTGACAGGCACACAGTTAGAAGAAAGCTGAAACAGCGAAGGCACTATGGATCAAATATTTTATTCCAATAATATTCTGATTTCCACTGTAGATTGTGGGTATAGCTTGGTGCCAGTGTCATGGACTCATGATTGAATATTAAATTTATGAAATGATGGGTCTTTTTGCAATCTCGTGTACTTGGTGTGTTTGTGATGAATTTTCAAGCGGATTCGAAAGGTTGGCTTGGAGTAATAAATAAGGCCAACATTCGTCTTTCATTTCATCAGCAGTTGATGTCATAGTAATTATTAATCAAACAATTATACTACTGATTTGGCATACGTCTACGTCAAAACATCAGCTTTTTATATTAATGTGCTAGTCTAGTTATTCTGATCATAAACATGTGACAAACTGTCTATGTTCTGATTGATTGGGTTTCTGTTTAAGTTTTATTTTTTCACTAAACATGACTTTTACCGGCTTTTCTACATTGTTTGATTATTTTAACTAACACATTATTTCCGATCTATTTATGTCATGTCTGTTAAAGTATGCTGTTGTTGGTGAGTCTCTCTCCTTTGCTCACTGACAGTAACAAGTTCAGGATCTTGTTGTAAACGCTATAGATGCTTCAAAAAGCTGTCCTTACAATCGGTAAAGCGAGTCGCCCTACAGGGAATGGAGGTCCTATAGAGTCTGACAAGTGCTCGTCCTACAAGAGATTTGTTGTGTTGCAAATTTGCATAAAATACCGAATGGTTACTACCGGTAAGTCCACATGTTGGGAATCAAACTGAAGTTTTATGAACGTTCTGAGTTTACACTGAGACTCGTCCATCGCTGGTCACCAGAGCTCAACAGGTGAAAAATAAGAAATTGCGCGGTCAATCGACAGTCGAAAATGTATTCTGATAGGCCACATGAAATAAAAAAAATTACATTTTATGATTTACCATTGTGGGGTATATGGCTTCTATTTAAAGTCGTGGCACCCGCATCTGATCTGAATCCGTTCATATCACACCAACAAACCTAATATTACTGTAAAAAAATCCCTGATTGTTTATCGCGGAATCAATGAGCACAAGTGCGACTGAAATCGTGGATGAGCGAATTGAACGAGTGCGTCGCAGAAATTCAATCTAGTATTTCACTACACCAATGGATTACGCTTTGAGCAGACGGCTACAGCGTGCTGAACTCGCTGAATAACTAATATATAATGTCCACTATTTCTGATTTACGGACTGAAGCTATACATTTTTTCAAAACCAAATCCGATCTATTTTTATTTCTTTACACAAAAGTGCATCCCTTGTTTAAACAGAAACGATAAACTATATCATTAATTATCGAGGCTTGATGGATGTTTCCCAAGTTACTCTTTAGGCGAGGGCTTAATTAGGCCTAACTTTGCCATGAAAGCGGAATGTTTTGATTGAGAAGCATCACAATTATATCAAATTCCATTTATTTTAAACCAAGGCTATAGGCGCCACAAAAATATAAAGGTAAAACGAACATGGAAAAATATAGCCAAACACACCCACCAAATATAGAAGTATTTTCAACACCATAACACAATTAGTAAGTATAGTTCGTGTTTGCCTGAAATAGTGATGCTAGTGTCAAATCTATATGTAACACTAACTCATATTTCGTTCGGCACTGAATTAAAGTATTGATGCAAGGAATCCTGACTTGAATGTATTATATGATAATAACTATTTATTTGTAAATCCGGATCTTCTCATTGTTATGCTTTGGCTGTAAAAACGAAAGGTGCGTGATATAAAATAATATATATATTATTGTTTATGTAAAATACGTTGATTCTAGATAGATTAATTAAGGAAAGACATTTTTACTCGAATCCCGTGGGGGATAATTATGTGCAAGAGGATTGCTGGACTCCTCGCAGCCGTAGGGTGGTTCACGTAACCTCTGATCTGGCACAGCTTTCTCCACCATGGAGTCCATGCATCTGAAACAAATAACTAGCTAACTAATCCTATATCTGACATGGACTGGTAATCTGACGAGAGGCCGTGATTCACCATATGATTAATTCGTCTTAGCGGCTTTCTCCTCCCTCGGGATAAATATGTAAACAAGCCTATCCTGAAACTGAACAGTTAGCGAAGGACTTCGTGGTAGAGTAATAAAATAGTTTTTCATAGTTAGAACCCGAATATCTATTACTATGAACAAAGTGTCTTTTAATTATATTATGTATATTTATATGCCATATATATACAATGCAGACGCTCATAAAATAGTAAAATATATTTCCTATTCAAACTCACGTTGTATGTCTTTGGTGGCGGAAGTACATATTCCACAAGTCTTGGCACATACCCTTTTAGCTTTTTTCGAATTGCACTTATTTTTCTTTACCAACTTTCTGCATTTTTTAACTTTAATTAGATCCAAGCAAGGTGTTGCTGTTGTCGGCCCCACTGTCGGTTCCACGTCGCCTATGAGTGCATTGTGTATAATACTTTAAAAATATATGGTATGTGGACATAACATACGCGTGCTCATCGCGACTTGAATAATTGATAGCCTACTAAATATAGAAATATACTATTAGTGAGTATTCAGGTTGCTGAAGATCTTAGTAATTACGCAAATAGCAACAGATTCCTAACTTCACCAAACGTTAAACAGTTGGAATAAACTTGATCCCATGTCTAATAAGAAACCCTAACTGACCATGGTGAGTCATAAGAGCAGAATGACAAAAAAGTATAAAGTCGACGCGTGCGCAATCGTTATACTAAACTCAGTCACTACTGTCTTTGAAGAGTAGTTGGAGAGTATCGGTAAAACTCGGACTACTCCCTTTCCACTCATTTTTGTGAATTACACTTCTAAGCGCACAGATAATTAAGAAAAATCATTGAGATTCATCATTTTGCATAAATTAGAGTTAACATTAATTAATTTACTATTTTTCTCTTACCGCAGTACATTCGTTTTATTTGCTCTATATCGGTTGCAACGAATCCTTCACGCTGCAAAATAGAACATAATAAAAAAATTTATTAGGGTAAAACTAAAAGTTTATATGTTAATACCAGGGTGGTCCAAACCCAGTCCGCGGACCACATGTGGCCCGCAGCCTTGTTATCTGTGGCCCGCGTTGCAGTTGCTGAAGGGTAATAAAAACCGCATTGGGTGTTGCTTCGTCCTAAAAATAGCCAGAAAAATAATTTGACATATTGTTACATCACTAATGTTACTGCATTAACTAGTGTTATGAATAGCGAAGTTGAATGATGTGTTTGGTTAGTCTAAACTCTAAATTGTTTGATGATTTTCTATTTTTTGGCCGAGAATATGTGCTAACAATGGAGAAATCATAAAAAATTAAAAATCGAATGCAAAGTCTTCTAGTCTGGGTTGGCGTATGCATGATAACTAGATATTAAGGTCATGGCCTAACATTATAAATCCTGCTTAGTGTTTTTTTTTCAGTCAGCATAACAGTGCTGTAAAAAATAATGCCTATATGTCAGGAAATTTATTAATTATTCTCCTATACCTCACATTTGGTAATTTTGAAAAGCTGACTAATTCAAACAGATTTTCAATTTGACAAGCCGGTAGGCGCCCAGGATCTCCGCTTATAGTTGAGGCCCGCACTCAAGCAACCGGTTGCCATCAATAGAAACTTGAGGATCTCTAACGGCTGCATGATTCAGCAAGTGAGCGGGTTGTCAAAAAAAACAAGTTCATTTCAAGCGCTGCGCGTTTTGTAGACATACTCGCGTGACTGATATACGGTGGCTAAAAATTAAAAAAAATAATGTTCACTAAAATCCCTAAGGATTCTCCAGTTTATGGAGTATTGAGATAAATAACGACTTGTTGGAAAGAATAATTTCCCGTGCGGAAGGTAGCGTTAATTTTTAACTTTGTTCGCGAGAAAACGGCGATAAGTTGTGAAAAAAATGGAAATTTCATAACGATCGGGGCGTTACTCTTTGTTGCCATGGAAACGAAACCTTCAACGGGATATTCTATAAAACGCATATTACTAGGGTGACAGGATAACCCACGTGAAAAATTTCATCCAGACTGATCCAGCCGTTTAGAGTTTAGACCATACATCTAAACAGACAGACAGACAGACAGAACGACCGATAATAAGGGTCTCCTAGAGCGGAGAACCAACTAGAGCGGAGATCCAATATGGTATGGAAAAATACCACAATGCTTGTTTGATATGTAGGCAAGTTGTGTCGGTGACAGAAGAATATAATCAAAAACGACATTTTAGATTCAGAATCTCGTGAGCAATGAGCATTTTTCAAAGTTATGGGGTTTTACCTCGAGAACCTTATCGATGTTCGAAAAAACTTACATCTGCGTAAGTGCTTTCTCCGCAATGAAGAGTGTAGATATTGAAAGACTTTTTGTACGTTTTGTTTTAGTCAGTTTTTCGGGATTTTTTGCTTGTTTCAGCATGATAAATGACGAATAATGATCAATGTGTATGCACAATAAAACTGTTCGTTTTGTATTGCATTGTTTACCTAATCTTGGCATTATTGTGGCCCGCGAACAATGCAAAAATAAGTTTTTGGTCCGCGAAGCGGACAACCTTGGATCACCCTGGTTTATACTATTAACTACACTTACAGTACTTGTTTGAAATTAATAACAAGCCTAACGGGTCCTCAAAGCGCAATGTTATGTTTTTGTATGAGCCTCACTATTAGAAAAAATAAACAACTTGGCTCAGATTTACATCACAACTACAATTTTGACATATATCCAGATTTCGGTAACAATTTTAGTAAATGTTCTTGATGTCTTTGACCACCCGAAAACTAATATTTTTAAAAATATACTTTAGAGATCCCAAACCTACAAAAGTAATAGGAAATCAAAACACAACAATGTTGTGGTATATTATTGTTCACTCTGATAAAACTATTAAAGAAATAGAAGAATGAACTATCAGTAAAGAAATCGTGAGTTTATCATAAAAGCTTGAACATGCACTATGTACAAAATATTCTAAGCAAGATTAACGCAGAACAACTAAACAATTATAGGATTGGATATTCACTAACCTGAGTTTGTAATGTATCACTTCCATCAGCGGGGATTATTGTTGGCAGGCCGTTTTTACTGAAAGCCCCGTTAGAATAATGCATCACCGAGAGAGTGTCGTATTTCGAGCCAAGACTATCTATATTGGTATGCTTATTGAAATTATGTTCTTTTCCTAAAAAATGAGAAAACGGTAATGTAGGCAAAATGTCGAACAGCAATGGTGGCGAGATAACAATAGAACTAAAATTCACCGTCTATTATATTATCCCACAATATTGTGACGTAATTATCTCGATCAGGCCTTGACTGTTCGTGCCAGAATCCGAGTGCGTGCATCAGCTCGTGAATTACAATTCCCTTTTGCTGGCATCCCCTACCGATGGATACCTGTAAATAACATATATACCCACTATAACTCTCGATTTCATAAAAATGACGAGAAAACGTCTTACACAACGTTACCGACTGAAAAACAAAAGATGCATTATTCACAAGATTTCAATATTGTGATTTTTATGATATTATGTTGGGTAATTGGAATTTGACTATATATTTGAGTATATATATTTTTATGCATTTACGATAATTTTTAATGGCCACTAACATCGTTTATGCCGTTGCTTCTGACCCCAACATAAGACCAACATGATCCAGATCCGCCATTCATAAATCTGATATATTTTTCTTCATTCACTCGTTGAACAAATCGTATGCAAGTATTTGCATGGAAATCGGCAATGGCTAGATTAATTGCTTCCACTGCGTAATCTAAAGTACAAAAAGTGGATGAGAAAAATTTCATCAATAAAATACCTTATTAGACTTTGGATTAAGATAAAATGCGCCTATCACAAGAAGACATTTTGAGTTTTAATATTTTAATTTTAAAAACGGATACGTATCGTTTGGTTCAATAGTGCGCCACCACAAAATATATATAGGCTGTAGGTGTAGTGTAACAGTAGCCTACTTACCTATGCCGGCAATCTCGTATGGGATTTCCCAGTTGTCACCATTCCGGTTTAAAAACCATTTCGTTATTTGATCATTGCCCGCTCCTCTCACATTTGAATTCAGAAGTTTCATTAAAACTTTTTCTGTTTTATCGTCGATCTTTATGTCTTCCTCATATAATTCTGTAGTGCCTATAAATATTCATCCAATAAACTATTGGAGTATTCTATTCATATATTGAAAAGGATATAAACTATGGCTACTCTCCACTACTGAGTATTATTTATCCTTGACAATAAAAGTATAAATTAGGTTTTTAACAAAAATATACTTGATTTTGTACAAAGTTTTGCATCACATTTCTAATCGATTAGTTTGTTTCAAACTTCGAGGACGAGATAAGGTCTTACCTGCTAGCGGTACACAGTCACATGTCGAGCATTTTCTGTTTTCGTTCCAGAAAAATTTAATGCATTCGATTTCACAGTCCTGAGGAACAGTTGGGCATCTCGTATAGGCTGTACCGAAATCTGATACAGACCACAATACAACGATAATCTTAATAAGACTATACATTATTTTTTCTGAATCATTTCAAAACCAAAATAGTTTAAAAGCAAATACGTCGACAAGAAAAATACGTCGATGCAACCAAGGATTATTTTCACATTTGCGTTTTAAACAGGCAAATCTAGGCCCACAAAGATCATTAGGATAATATTTATGCTAATACTGAAATTCTAAATCTAACTTATTTATGTGATGAAATACAGCTGTACCAACTTACAGTTAATAAAATAGAATGAACGAATAAGCAAGTACGCAAAACTAAAACTTTTGATCTTACATACTTCTGTCGCTGCCAGTTATATATAGTGCGTAAGTGTTGACAGTTCACGATTACATTGTTATTCGTTAAGTATAAACAAGTACTATAAAACAGGGAAACTTGAACAGGGAAAATGAAATTAAACTTCTAATCTCCTCGTTTTATACATTTTAGACGCTTAGTAGTGAGGTAGAGTAAAGGTAACAGAATGCCATTAATGAAATCGTTCCGGTATAAAATTTATTGCTTTCGATCAAGGCAATCATGCAATAAATAGCAATATGATGACCATTGACACAAATTAATTCTTAATCGCCTGGTTATAAAATTGGTGTCACTACCTGACATTACCGACCTCAAGTCGAATAGCACAAAGTATGGTGGCTTCCGAAACTGAATGTTTTAGGTAAATCAAACATACTCAACAACAACTGATTTTGCATATGTGTCATGTCGTTAAAGAAATCAATTTTGGAAGACAGATTTCAAATCCTTGATTCAAAATAAAATCCCTTTTAAACAGAGTGACTCCAAAATAGAACCAATAAAATCTTAATTACTTCTACATAAATGAAGAAAATTTGTTAAACACCTGAATTTCTGTTTGTTTGCGATTGCACCCAAAATATCCACTAATCTGGCAAGCTTTCACTAAAATTATGTTCTTTCATAATTTGTTGGGGTCACTCTGTATAAGTGTTTTAATCACTTTACGATGCCATCGCCTATTTTAAATTAAATGATACAAAAATAAGTAACTGCTCATTTTTTCAAATGTCTTTCACTGGCTGGAAGAACAACTTGGTTAATTTGAATGGCTTTGGTATCAGGATGATATATATACAAGCTGTAGCTCGACTTTCAGCAGCAATTTTAAGTCAGTAACCTGTATTTTTGATATCCTATTCCAGTGTTCATTTTGGTATGTCAATTTCGGAAACTAAAATACGAATACCATATACGGAAAGGTTCGAATTATAAACTCATTTGCGTAGTTTCGTGCACAATCTCAATCGTAGTGTGTTAACTTCTTTGCACCAAATAACTATATTCTATTTTTTTTGTTCAATACATTTTCTACTTCATAGCAATTTTAAAGTATTTTATTGGCATTGCAATAAATATACCGGTAAATCATATAATAACTAAAATGCACGTCGGGTTAATTTTATTAGAATGGCAAAATACGCATTGACGGTCAAATGTTCGAAATTGTGGATAAAGTGACAATTCGGTGTTGTAACTCAGTAATAGACTGATAGTTATATAAAAATGTTTTTTCAATGCGTCAGAGTTTTATTACACAGCATAACTTACGTTATGTGATGATACTTGCGCTAGCGTCACGCAACTAAGGGCGGGCGTCAAAGGTGCGTAATAATTGGTAATAAATTTGAAATCGTAAATAAATTGACATTCCGGGGGTATATTACTCAATTATAAAGACTAATAATACAACTTGAAAGTTTTTTGAATGCGTCAGATTTTTATTGTACAGCATGATTTACGGGGTTTAGAAGCATGAAGGGCGGGGGTTAGAGGTATCAGGTTTAATGTACTTTAATTTGCCTAGCATCTAAATATTAAATGGTTTGTATCGGGTGTAATCATTCTAAATGTTTATGGAGAATTTCTGTCTGACATGAGACCTCACTGAAGCATCCGAATGTTATAATCGATACAAGTTAGCAACGAAATTGAAGATTACAGACGTCGTCTGTGTACTTTTATTTCAATAATAAGACGCATTTGACAGTAACCCCCGAACTCGTACATACAGAAGAGCGAACGCATATTCTCTAATTCATAATATTTGTTTAATTAAAATAAACATACAACATTTCATCTCTTGGCTGGTTATCACGAACACTTTATGTTGTTCATTCTTGAATTTTAATTGAAGTGAGTGGAAATATCAACCCTGGCAACACATTTTTATCGTCAGTAACTCAGGTAATTCAGGTAATTAACACAGTAACCACAAATAACGTGATAGGCTGAGTGACATACACATACATATGGCGAACCACGGCCTATCGTCCGGTTGCCAGTCAATGTCGTATATATATGGATGGAGAAATTTAGAACGTTTCGTTTACTGTAATGCGAAAGAAGATTATTAACGGTTAGAAGAAACGAACGTGCGATAGGTTGTTTAGAATTTTATTTTTATTTTTCGATTCTAAAGCAGGGCTACTCAGCTATTTCCACTAAAGGTCCGTACACAAAATTTAAAAATGACGGGGTACTCCGGAAGTATGCGCACCAAGATGTCGCATAACGTGAACCCTTACCTGGTACACAACCTGAGTTCAGGTTGTGCGCCATATTGGTGCGCATACTTGAGGAGGTCCCCAAAAATAATATTTTAACTATGTAAACAAAATTCCAAATGCATGATTTGACAAAATACAAGAGCAATGCTTAATATAGCACTTCGATACCAGTATGACAAGGCTTCATTTGTGTAGCTGAGCGCCGACTTTGCTGAAAAGATATATATATATATATATGAATGTTCGCCCCGAGAATAGCACCCGTAAAAATATATATATATTCAAGACTGAAATTTGGAATTTATTAGTTGCGGGAAAGAACGATTTTCTCCAAGCAATATTGAGAAAAACCATGTTTGGTGACGTAAAAACTGAAATGTTAGCGACCGCATCGCTTTGCTAAAATTTTTGTGTACATTCTATGCTCTAAAAATGTTATATTGCTATAATAATTTTTTTCTCGGTGGTTTATCGGAAACCACTTTACAATACGATTGCGAAAGGAAAAGAAACGATGTATTCAAAGTCAAGAAGCAGCTGCGGTCCCAATTTAATACCAGAAAGGTCCGAATTCGGACCGAGGACCACCAGTTGAGTAGTCTCGGAATGCGTGGGAAAAAATTGCGGGTAATGGATCTTAAGGTTCGACCATAGAGTTGCATCCAGATGATTTTTTCTACCCTTGCTCTCTATTATAACCGAAGTAGATGGATACCGAAGGCGTTAAATGGTTATAAGGGTCATTGCTGAATACTAACATTCTTCGACTACAATTAGGCGGCATGCGTGTGATTGATTATTTGCTGCCAGTCATCCAAGGTGTAATAACTTGACATTTCGAAAAGATTGTCCACCAACACGTAGCGTATTACGTTTCAATAGCTACCTGGTATCTTGTTTGAACGAAATGCAAAACTCTTCATAAGGAATTACGACAACATCAGAAGTTTTTGTATTGTCTGGGACACAATTTGTCATTATTACAGAGCAGAAATTAAATGTTCGTCATAGAAATTTGAAGCATATTGCTCGGTTTTCGTTTTTAATAAAAAAAATCTGATAATGTGTACTGGATTAAGATAGATATAAAACGACTTCAAAATACATATGCTAAAATAATTCAACGTTGGTTTCGCAGAACCAGTCATCAGTTTTGTGTATGAAAAGAACAGCAGCAATATCATGTCATGATATCGAACTGAAACGGTTCTGTATGAATCAAGTTTATTTATTATCACTCGATTTCAGATGTAAATATGGTAACAATTTTGAATGTGAAAAAATTTACAGCATGAATTTGTAAAATGAATAAAAACAAGGAAGCAATGCTCAAATATATGGACACGTTAACATAGCGAAGCAGTCCCTTACCCTTGACGCTACCGGTAGCCTAAAAAATTCGCGAGTTTCGCGGAGCAAGAATTTACAGAATGAAACGGGACAGCCAGTGTTCCATGGTTAAAATAATACAGCGAAACTTTCGACGAAATATCAGATTTCATACGAAATTTAGCAATAAAAAAAGTAATAGCCTTCTGTAAAAAAAATCCATCTTTAACCACTGAAAAGCATTCGGTCCAGTAATCGAAGAGAAAAGCGACTTTTTAATAACTATGTCAAAAAACAAGAACAACAATAAAAATACCAAAACGATCGTTGTGTCCAATAACAACACTTGTTGTCAACTTGTCTAACAAGTCGTCGGTGACACATCGAGCTCCATTTAAATATGTTATAGTGACATGTGTGAGTTGAATCTGATGAATCAGTTATTTCCTCCAAAACGAGTTGTGAGTCACTTTTCTCGATGTGGAACCTGATTTTATTGAACATCGTGAAATCAAAGATTGAGATGTAAACAATTAAAAAAAAACAGGTTGTGATATAATGCGATTATTACAATCAAAATGGCTCTTATACTTTTTCTATTGTAGTCAGGAAAGGTCTAAAATAAAGAGAGAAGATTTAGATGTAAAAATTAGGACATCAGCCAATATGACAACTCGTTCTTTGTCGTGATTTTCCAAGACGGAGAAACATTTACTTACATTGCAGTTTCATATTGCATCTATATTATAGTTTATTATTATCTTGAATATTTTGCGTGTGCTATGGAAAAGAAAAACAATTTGCTGTTTTTGGCAGTGTTTCTTATGGCGTTGCGTTATGCTCCAACCTGCCAGGGACAAGATGAATTAAAATGTCAGAACGTACCTTACGACTGTGAAACAAAATGCCTTAATTACGATGTGGATAAAGAAACGGGGTGTACAACGTGCCAATGTGTGGAGTTAAATGGTGAATGTTTACCGATATTTTTCGTTACAAAAACGTTAATATGTAGAAAAAGTGAGAGTATTACCTTTTGTGTCCTGACAAAAAAGTATACATATATATCGCAATGGAAAATTTGCCAAAAATATTTCCTAATAATAAACATTGATGTATGTTAAAATCATTTTCAATATTGCAAGAATAGATAGATACACGTTGATAAATTCATAAATACAAAATGATGTTCACCTATTTCAGGGTTGTTTGAAATGGATATCAAATTTGATGATAGAACTGAAAAGATGGCAATGAGTCTTCTTAATAACAAAGGGAAAGCTGCCGGTACAGCTATAACAAAATGGTTTTTGTGGCAAAACAAAGAAACCGGAAATTGGCTGATTCCTTACCGATTGGACAATAGCCTTTGTAAGCATTTTATATCGATCATTTTTGGACCAGTTCTGGCGATGACCTACCTGTTATGTCGAACTGCGACGGATTTACGAATCCTTTGATAGCAATGTGGCCAAACATACCGTCTTAATTAGGAACCAAGGATTTGGATGGATATATGGTCTCGATTAATAATTAGGTGGAGAGATATATGGCTTCTATGTAGATGTAGTTTTAATTTTAAGAGTGGATAACAGTGGCAATATGGTCACCATTCATATCATTTTTTTTTTATTCCGATGATACCAATTGCCATAAATATTTACCTAAAACACGTTATGTGATATTTTTATTTCATGATATGGACTTGAATTGTCACAAATTCTGTACTGATAATTATGTTCGTGAAATTTCAGCCAAAACTGCAGTACAGGCGATCGAAGATGCAATTGCTGATTATCATGCCAACACATGCATTCAATTCATACCTTGGTCAGGAGAAAACAAATATATTTTATTTTTCGTTGGTGGCGGATGTTGGTCGTATGTCGGCGTTAGATCAAGCGGTGTGAATGAAGTAAGGAAGTCTTTTTCAATTCTATTAATAGGATAGGATTTACATATTTATCCCAAGGAAAAGAAAGCCGATAATACGGCTTAACCATATGTCGGACTACGGTCTCTTGTCCGGTTACTATTCCATGTCGGGTATTGGCTTAGTTAGTTATTTGTTTTCGGAAGCATGGACTTGAACAATACTTAATTAGGGTGACCATCGGTATATATATGACTAGAGGCATCTTTACAACATAATTTTTCCAGCTTTCAATCGGAAGCGGCTGTGAAACGAAAGGAATTGTAATTCATGAACTTATGCATGCACTTGGATTTTGGCATGAGCAATCCAGACCAGATCGTGATAATTATATCAAAATTATATGGGAAAATATCCAAAAAGGTGGGAATATCAAAATGTTGTATTTTAATCGGTTTACTTTTGTATCCGTGGTATTATTTAGTATTGAAGGTTGCGCATAAAATCTACACTGCTAGATTTATACAAAAGAATATGTAGTGCTCCCGTAGTATATATGTGTACCAGGTTAGGACATAATTTAATTCCTATTTTAGTTCTATTGCGAGTTCGGGGACTGCCTGTGTTAGCCAAGTGAATATACCCCCTGTCCATAGGTCTCAGTCCCTTTACACAACTTGATGTAAAGTAGACAAACGAATTAATTGCCTCCGTATTTGTACACTTCTGGTTCTGGAGCGCCGAATATGTAATTAAGATGTAGCGCGTTGTCATCGCTGGGAAACATGAACTAATTAGTTGAAAATTTAAGTCGTAAATGAAACATGACCCTACATACATCAAGATAAAATACCATATTTGCGTGGTTCAATACAATGTTGTTAAAACTTTCCTCTTTTTCGTCGTACTTCAGTATATTGTGCGCACTATCCTCTTTTTCGTCGTACTTCAGTATATTGTGCGCACGTGCTTTTTAAGGTTAATCCCGTATTACCGCTTTGCAGGTTTAGAGAGTCAATTCCAAGTGCTGCACGATGTCGACCATTACGGTTCCGAGTATGATACATTTTCTGTGATGCATTATCCTAACTGGGCTTTTTCTAAAAACGGGAAAGACACCATAACAAGAGCAGACGGGAGTGAATTTGAGGATTATCAGGTTGTCAATGAACCTGTATAGTTTGGGGTGCATCATCCCTATAAATAAGACTAGGGTTGTCCGAGTATCACATTTATTAACTATATTCAGCAAAATATTGAAATTTCAAGTATATCATGCAGGTTACTTGTTAACATTTTTTCAGTATACTAGGCTTCTAGTGTTTTCCAAGCGTTCTCTCCTTCGTTTCTGGCGAAGGCTATCATGATTGTATCAATACTATTCGTGTTTCACCATTAAACCATTTGCCTAATATACCAACAATTCTAGACTTTTCTGATCAAATCTAAACAACAAATGATTTTAAAAATCTTTTTCATGTCAGTTTATCGTGACAATAGGCGGATTCATGCATGGTGATGAGTCTTCTAGACTTGAATTTTTTTTGGAAGTTCACAGGTATTATACTGGGTCCCACTAAAGTGTACGTTGTTCGTTGAAGTTAATAACATATTTACCACTATTGCATCGTTTTCAATACAATATGATATTTATACTTACTTGTTCGCAATATTTTCAACAGCGTCAAGAATTTGCTGCTTCAGATATCCAACAGATAAATACCATGTATCAATGCAGTGAGTAGAGAAGTCAATTATGTTTTGTGTGCATAGTTGGCAACATTTTGATACCGAAAAATTCAAATATTGTCAACAGAATCATTACCAAACCGCATTTAGTTAAACAAAAGATCTTCAAACAGGTGAAAAACGACTTTTGGCACCAGACAGCATCGTGATGCAACAATACAGCACAATAGTAGGAAAAAAGTCCAACGTATAACAAGTAATTTTTAGGAAAACATATTCTATGCTAGCAAAATTTAATTGTTTAATATCTGCAGGTGGTGTTGGCATTGGAATTACTCCATCTTCCGGAAATTCATCCACACCGGCACCAACGACGGGTAAAAATTACTATTGCCATATTTTATAAAGTTGCGATGAGCATCAATAACAAACACACAATATTTATGCCTTTTTTACAGTGATATGAGTTATTATAAATTGCCGTGGTAAATTACGTCCTAGTTTTCTTATATATATAAAGTCTAAGAAAAGTATTCATTGATGCATCTCACATGATATTATAAATAACAACTGACTGCTTGAATGGTTTCTATTTGCACAATAGAAAATATTGTTTTGATAAGTTTTTGTTTGCTTCTATTGTCAGCAAGTAGGTTAAAACACAATGTTCAACTACTTTAGCAGCGACTTCGACTGAAAGCACCTGTGCGGATATTTTGCCAATCCGCAAATGTGAGAAAGCAGAGAGGAAAAATAAATGCAATAAGAAGAAAGTTTGGAAAAACTGCATGAAAACGTGCGGACGTTGTAGCAACGCGCCCGAAAAGGATGAAGGTAATAAATTGGAATAAATAGCCGAATAAATCTAGATCACGAATCACTATATGATCTAGTAATAAAAAATAAAATTTTGTCTGTACATAAACAAAAACTTGGGCAAGGTAGATAGCATGGATGACTTTGCGATGTTGGGCGTATGAATGAAGAGTTGGAAAAAAAAATGTTTGTTTCAGATTTTAAACGTTATGTTTATTTACCCGATTGTAAAATATCTAAATCAATATATATTATTACGTGGTCGCGTCTCAAATATCTGTACGAGTAAATGGAGCTATTGTATTGCAAGAAATGATTTAATTATTTTTATTGATATTGACGTATGGATAGTTTAATACTGTTATAAAAATATGTTATTTGTAGGCTAATTGAGTAAGCATCAATTTGTAATGGTTTAATAAATTTTATTTTTTTCATCAAACTGCCAACAGATTGTAAAGACGATGAGCGTTATGAATGCAAACAATTGGTTGACTATTGCGAAAGATCAGATGACGTCATGAATGCTTGCCCCCTATCTTGTGGCACTTGCAAGTAAACGAAGACTTGACCGCTCGTGTTATTCAGATTGCCATTTGAATCAAATACAATACATACATATGAGACATTTTCTTTCACTACAAAATGAGACTGGTATAATCAAATCATCTTTTTAATTTTTTTTTCGATTATCCAATTATAGTGATAAATTGTTAACGTTACCTACTTCACTTCAAACAAAGTGGATAATAGCGAGTTTATAACATGTAATATTGACGATGACACCATAATAAGAATTGATGTATTTCTGAAGTGTTGGTGTCAAATAGAATTATCAGATTTCTTTACAACAATGTCCTTGCTGGTATATTTATTATATATATCTGTAAAATCTATGACGTTCAAAGCTATTTTTAGGAAAATATTCTTTTTTACATCACTGAAACACGACGACAATTCCAAATACCTGTTTCGGTACAACCCAACACTCTTTAAAATGGTATTGCTCGAAATATATTTTAAAACGTTACTGACATTTATTATTACCAGAATTACATACAATGATATAAACTGTAATTAAACGAAGGGTATTTTCAAATATAAATAATTATACAGTCAGCTGGTGTCAGTAGGGCCTATAATATAATAACACTACGATGTTGCCGCACAATATTTTTTAATTCGAATTCGAATATGTAAGAAATGGCGAACGTGTTTAAGTGTCGCATGGCGCATCATTCTTTTCACTTTCATTTGAATGTTGTTTTCAAAACCTTCACTTAGTTCGAATAATTTGATTAGCTGAAAGAATTTGTAGATTCATTCAATTATTAAGACTCTCCATTAGAAAGATTTATACACCCCAACAGAGACGATCAACGAGACGAGTTTGGTCGGAACTATCCCATCTTAGAAAGTCTTCATTTGTGTTCCTCAGGTCGTCTAATCGAGACTAGACTAGCTTTTTCAACTGGGTACCATCATCTTTGCAGTATATTTTCATCCGTAAACGGTATCCAGAACATTTGAGCTTGTTCAATTTTTTACTCGCAGACATTTGCGATCATGCTTCCATGGAGTTAGTTTTAGAACACTATGACGTTTTGAAGCAGGTTAGATACCATGCAGATCCCGTGCGGACTATAAACAAAATTATATTTGTTAATTTGTGGCTGATACTGATTTTCATTTATATATATCTATATTTAATGAAGTGCAAATATATCTGTGGATGCAATGTCCACGGTGCAAAAATTCATCGGTGTGAACTTCTTGGGTGCAGAAATTCGATGGTATAAACTTCCGTGACTCCAAACTTTTATCGGTTCAAATGTCAATAAGTGCATAATCCGAAGGTGCAAAGAACCACATTAATTTCAAGAAAATTTACGTATGTGCGCATGATACTGCTTTCTTCGTGTTCATCCTACACACCAAAACCCTGACACCAGAAATGTTTGTGTGCCAAACTCATTGTTTGTTTTACCAAATTATATATAATATTTATTATTTAAACACAAATTTCACAAGTTTTTCTGCAGTTCGGAATTACGTTTTCTTTGTTGCATCTACTCTTGTTCTTCATCTTTTTACACTTTTTCAAATTCCAAAGGTCAATACATGGTACTGTGGTTGTTGCAGCTCCAGTAGTGAACAAATCTGTAAATACGTAAAAATGAATTACCGAAGCACAAAAGCGTTTTTAAATCCAATCACATGGTTTCCGTATTTAGGAGAAAATGCGAGTAAGCTAAGGTAGGCTACAGAATTTTTAGCCATGTGGTTATCCACCAACCGTAAAACAGTTTTTTGATACATTTTTGATAAAATGCTTGATAAATAATGCATTGATTGCCATGAGCCACCTTTCAACGGTGAGGAATTAGCCTAAATATATTTTATGCATTGGTGCCTGTAGACCCGACATGGGCAAACCACGGTCCGGGGGACAAATCCGGTCCGTTGGGTAGTTCAATCTGGTCCGCCTGATGTTGCCACAATCAAATTAAAACCAAATTTTGTTGTTTAAGCTAAAAAATAGCTGAAGGAAATTGGGAAGATTGGAATTAAATTTAGCACGAGGCTCATTGTTTCTTACTTTTGCTTTGGTAACAGTGTAAATATTGTTCATAAAATGTAACTTTTATATCACACCTACATGGCCCGCCAGTCTAGGTAGGCAAAATTTTTGGCCTTGGTCCAAAAATCGTGCCCACCTCTGCTGTAGACTGTAGTGTAGTAGAGCATACGAATCCCACTCAGGCAATTGGAGAATTCATATTTACTGTACTCATAACAGCAACTGTTAATATATTCATGAATAACTGCGCGTTTATTACCTGTGGTTTGTTCGGGTACAGTCGTCGGATGAGCTGTAGTGAACAACTGTGAATCTTAAAATAAATTTATCTGATATTAATAAGCGGGACATGATATAATTACAATTTACTATGGCTGGGAACTGGGTCAAATCAAATATCGAAATACACCTCATATTGACAACAGCAATGCTCAAACATATGGACACAAAATCCAAAATGAAATATTTGGCGCTCCAGAAGTGTATGTACCAATATGGAGGTAACTAATGTTATTCGCCTACTTTACATCAAGTTGTATAAAGGGACTGAAACCTATAGGTAGGGGTATATTCACTTGGCTAACACATACAGTCTTCGAACTCGAAATAGAACCAAAATAAGAAAAATCGGAATAAAATTATGGCCTGACCCTAATCTGGTACATATACTACGGTAGTACCAAATATTTTACCCGCGATTTTCCCAAACTCATATCCTGAACGAAACTGGAACGAGGGAACGACTACCGTAACTGAGTCTAGTGTAAGTAATTCTAGTGGTGTGGCGTAGGAATTATTGCATATCTCATTCCTCACCCCCACCTGTCTACGTTATCCAAAAATTACGTCATAATATAGCTTGCCAAGTATAGCGACGATCGCTCGTAATGATCACTGAAAAAAGGAACCTTTCTTGTATTGACGTAATTGTTGCGTCGCAGTGACATCATTTTTGTATTGACGTACTCGGGTGGGGGTCATGGATGACATATGCACAAATGTTACGCCACGCCCACCAGAAGTACTTGAGGTATTAAACTACATTTGATTCCTTGTGTAATATTCGACTGCAATAAATTGATGTAAAAGTTATACATATATCTTTTTACCAGATTTGTGTTCATTCATGTTTTAGATTTGGTTTATTTTAGTTCTAACTATGTTGAAAAAATACGTATGAAAATGAGTATTCATAAATTAAATGATAACTGGTCGCATACTTTTTATGTACTTTACAGAGAAGAAACTTTCATTTTATAGTGTAAATAAACTTCCAGATAAAAACATGGGGACAGGACATTTGCGCTCCGTACAGTTGCACTCGTAAATGCACTCGGGACATTTGCACGTGCATACTTATGCACTTATGCAACCGAAGATATTTATTCCTGTGAACATTTGCACCACGGATATTTGCGCCTATAGATATTTACACATAAGTATATTTGAACCACCACAAACGGTCATTTTCGTATAAAGAATAATTCTGTTCCGACCAAAATAACTTTTCTTTAGCGATTGTAACTATATATATATACATTGAAATTTAAGATTGACTGCAATTATAAATATAATTTTGGTTACGTTGGTCATGGTTTCACTGTCTTTACAGGTAATGATCCTGACTCACATTACACTTTGTAACCGTCTTTTTTAACTGAATAACGCAAACGTACTACAATCATGAAACGCCTATTTATCGTTTATTGTGGTAATTGGTTAAAGCACACGAACATAGGCAGAAAGGGTTGTGGGTGCATGCCCATGAATGCAATTTGTATGTGGGTACTAAATTTGACGAATGCAAAATGTTGGGTGTAAATGTCTACGGGTGCGATCTGTATGAGCGTACTAAAATCTGTAGGTGCAAATGCCCGTTGGTGATAATATCCGTGGGTGCAAATATCTTTGGGTGAAAAAATTTATGGGCACAAATTATCGTGGGTCAAAATGTATACGGGTAGAAGCGTCCACATGTGCAATTGTTTATGACAGAAAGTAAAATTTGTGGGTGCAAAAGAATGCAGTTGGAATATTAACGTTTTTGTCTATGCTAATGCCAACTATGATAAATAAACTAGTTTAACCTTTCATTTTATCAAACATAGAATATATTGTTTTACCTGTTGTTTCTTTTATAGTCGTGTGAAGATCTGTCATTGTTGTTAAATCTAAATACAATAAAACTTGATTTACTGAAATAGGTATAACTGTCGAGTAATTAATTGTCATGCCCTGGAATCACCGATTCTGTATGACAGTGGTAGAGTTTATACTTCATCAGGGGCTTCTGAGAATGCATAGAAATCTTTGCATTCAAAAATGCATATTATTTCTACATTTATAAATTTGCTCGCATTGGGTTATGAGTTATTATTTTGGGCCTTTTCTGCTATCAGTATTTCTTTGCTTGGAGCCAAATCGAGTTTAGGGGTGCGTTTAGTCAACTTTAGAGCAAAGTTTAAACGGTGATTTAATTTAATACAAAAGTGTGATTTTTAGCAATGCTTAAATGTATGAAAATCTGTCCGTTGACGCATTGCAGATTTTAATGAAAATGTAGGATCGGAGAAAACACGATATGGTGTTACAAAAATAAGGCGTCATAATCAGGGTTAGGTAGAAGTGTCTGAACTGCTAGTCGAGTCGGGTGGAGCTTCACGGAGGTCTCAGTTCGAGTCCAAAGTATATCGAACCAATTTCACTGGGGTCAGTTTAATACGAATCCGAGTAAATTGATTTGAATGACTCGAATCACTTCGACTTCCTGACTTATGGTGATTCGAGTCCAACTCGAGTCGAGTCATTGACTTGAGTCTCCTTGTTACTGGCCATAAACAGTTTGTACATTATGTTTTCTGGACCTTTAATATTAACTATCTCCTGATGTTTGATCAAAATTTATCAGACGAAATTCGGGATGAAGAACTAAAAGATCCCTCTTTTAACGTAGCTTTCCTGTTCCACTCTATTGGTAAATATGTTAATAATGTTTTCACATACCCGGTTCTCCTTCATCTTCCGTGGTAGATCGTAGCATAGTTTTTTGAGTAGTAGAACCTGAAATCGAATAAAAAGTACATATGGAGATAATGTTGTTAGAAATGGATATTGGGTGAATTGCACAACACAGCCTATCCATTAATTTTATATTCTAGTATAGATGATAAAAATATATGTCACATACCAGGTTCATTTTCGCTCTCTGTGGTCGGTGGTACAAATGTTGTTTTAGAAGCCGAATCTAAAATATGACCATTCACACTTAAAGCGATGTTAAATATTGATTAAAAATTTTTTCTTAGCCAATATTTCAGTAGCCAAAGTACAAAATGTATGGGAATGATTCTTACACGACTTCACAATTTTTTTGATATCTCATATTTGTTCGAAAATGAATAAACTAAATCTCGTTACCTGTTATCGATTCCTCTGTTGTGATTGAAGCAGTTGTTGTCATCCCATAAACCGATGCTAAAGGTATTTTCAATCACAATGCATTAATACTTTTCATAATCATATTAATAATAATTTATAAATTATCAGAATACCGAGTCACGCAAACAGTTATGTTTGTATGAAATGTTGCTTGCTATGCGGGAGAAAAAAAAATGTCACAACAGGTTGCTGAATTTCTGCTTCTGTCGCCTTATTAAAAATACAATGATTGGGTTGAAATATGCTTACCATTACATTGGTACATTGCGTTGATTTGGTTAACATCTGAAACGGTGAATCCTTCATGCTAAAATTAACAATAAATGAGTTTACAAAGAAAATTTTGGGAAAACATATTTGATACATTATTTCCAGCATCAAAAAATTATTTTGTATCGGTTAGAATTGCACCTGAAATTCAATAAATGGAGACCCATCTGTATTGACTATAGTTGGTTTACCGTTCCTGCTGAAAGCTGTTTGTTTATAATGCATCACCGAGTAAGTGTCGTAAGGAAATCCGTAGCTCTCAATGTTAAGCATTTTTTGAAAATTGTTCTCTTTACCTATGAAACAGGAAATTAATAAATTGATAAATTATAAAAAATAAAAAATAAATACATTCACAATCGTATGCTTAAAATGAAACATAACCCCAAGGATTCTATCGATAGCAATATGTTTGCCACAGAATAGTGGATTCCAGCTCTCAAGCAGCAATAACTGAACTTTCTTCAAAATACGTAGCCTCACCACAACAGGCAAGCAAAACACCTCTTTAGACAAGGAAGTTTTACTCGATTGCTTCAAGTCTCTTGTCGGCGATAGTTACTGCCAGGTATTTCATAATCATAATTGAGCGTGGTCTTATCATTCTAACGTCTAGTCTAGATTGTGCCAGTTTTCTTTACGTTTGAGTGAGCGCGCGTGAGTTTGATCTTTGAGAAAATTTTCATAATAATTCAATTCAATTCGTTTGTTACACCAGACCGTTATGTTTCATATCAAATAACACAAACAAATCAATAAACACAGGCAAATACATTAATATAAATATCACAGTAAAATACCGCAATATCAGCAAAATAACATCTAATATAAATTAAATCCGCAATATCTCTACGTACCCAAGAATTGAAGAAAAACAGAAAAAATGATGAAAATAATAACGGCCCCAACCCCATAAGACTCAAAAAGGTTTAGTCATAGCGCACTTTATATATATCTAATTAATTAAGAGGCTATAATTGAGGAAGTATAGAATCTGGGATAGCCCATCACAAATAGTATCTTGGAATAAAATAATGAATACAGGATGTTGTTTGTATTTTTACATCTCTTCATAAACGGTCACAGATTTGATCTGGGGAGTGCTTCGAATGAGGATAATAAGGTTGGATTAGAAAAAGGATGATAAATAACATTGACTCAAATTTTGGGTTTAAGAAAATTCCCAGTTTGTCACTTTGTATAAATTATACTTGAAGACAATTAACAGGGTCCGGCTTTGTCTGTTATTATGTAGCTATATCAGAAACAATCTTTCTTCCTGTCACCTGTTCTTATATTTTCCCATACTATGGTGATGTGATTATCACGATCAGGTCTTGATTGTTCGTGCCAAAAACCAATCGCATGCATCAATTCATGAATAACTACTCCTTTTTGTTCGCATCCTGTTCCAATTGATAACTGTAACAAGCGAGTAAATACTAACTAAGAAATATTATAATTTTTTATTCTAATAAAGTGAATGATTAAAATGGCGAATGTTTATTATTTTTACCAAACAGGTGGAATCGATTCGAACGATGATGTTATTTTCCGATTTTAAACTTTTAGATAGATTTAATTTCAAGATAGTGAAGTGAATTAAAATTTGTTGAGCCTCTTGGCCTACACACTGATTCGGAATTGTACTTATTTGCTCAAGTTGAACTCGATAAACGTTAGGAATACGCTCGCCACCGCATCTCTGATTACCCTGCGTGGGTTCGCATGTTAGAATCCCATGTTTCCGAAAACAAATGACTGGCTAACTAATCACATACCCGACATGTACTGATGACCGGACGAGAGGCCGTGGTTCGCCATATGATTAAGTCGTCACTCATGCAGAAAGCGAAATGAATCTGAATCAAAACGCCATCCAAACCAGGCGTTTTCTCGGATTGTTCTACCTCAGATAAATATCCTCTACCTTAAACGAAGTTCATATTTGATACTATTCAATATGATCATTGCTTGCCCCGTTATGATATTTTCTTTTCGTACAATACAATATTCAGCCCAATTAATTTGTATTGCATAGCCTAATTAGTCTTTCTTTCTTTATCTATTTTAACCCATAAATCAGAATAACAATTTTTTTTAATATTTAAGATTATGAAGACTTCAACAGTTATATATGCATTACTTGTATAAATTTTTACCAGATTGACACCGGATGATCTCACTCCAACGTACGACCAACATCCTCTACTGACAAAAAATTGAATAAATTTTTCTTCTTGATTTCGAGGTACAAACCGAAGACATGTATAGGAATGAAAATCAGCGATTGCTTCTGCTATAGCATCAGTGGCGACTGGTACTAATTGAATAAAATCATTTAAAGGTTGTTTTCTTCTCTATTGAACTTTCATGGCTTGGTTATAACGTTTTTATTATCTTGAAAATTTTTTAGCCTACAAGATTTTATAATACTTCGGAAATTTAACTACAGTATTTGTTTAGTCCCGTTTCCTGCTTATTCACACTTTCATTCTGAGCAAGAGTGAATATCAGCATTGTGACATAAGAAAAAACTACGTTCCAGGCAAAAACGAGGTTCAAGTATTACCGTGGTTTGCCATGTATTTACTTCTGTAACCAGGCGGACTATATATTGCAAACATTTCAGGTGCAATACTTCTTTATTCTTATTTCTGCTTTCTAATTTTTATTGAGATCATATTAAATATACTCACACAAGCGTTGATCAATAACGTATGGAATTTCCCATTTGTCACCATTTTTGTTCATTAGCCATTTTCTTTGATTTGCTCCTCCAGCTTTCCTTTTGTTATTTAAAAGATCTTTCACAATATTTTCAGTTTCTAGATCAAGCATGATATCCATCTCAAATAATCCTAAAATAAATCGTACGTCACAATTTGCCAATGGAAATCGATTTGCAAGTGAAAGGAGAACAAGTACTAGTGCTATTTAGTGGTCTATTGACCGCCATGAATATTCCGAACGATAAGAGAACATTTGAAGTATATATATAATAGAGGGACATTTTCTTATTTTATTAGGACGTGTATAATGAGAAACGAAGTAAAGGTTTTCATATTTCTGCCATGCAGCACGAAACAATAAACTCTCATAACTCTTCCCATAGTTCTATTCATAATGAACTGTTTTTTACTATTTGATTCATCCATATCGTTGTATTTATTGAATCGTTATGCCGCTGCTTTTTCTAGATATTATAAATCAGAACGTAAATAATTTTTTTTTTGTCCAGTTTGGTAAAATATCAGTATATATCATTAATAGCAATACCATCCTGTAACTCGCACGAACAAGTTGAGCATTTTCTTGCTTTGTCCCATTCATATTTGACGCATTTTTCTTCACAATCATGTGGTACCCTTGGACAATTTTTCTTTCCATTTATCATCGAAGACGTGAAGAAGACGAAAAAAAGGCTGATATATTTATATTGTATCCTAAACATCGCTTCACACGACTCTTTTCCGAGTATTATAGGTACTTTATCGTATTCTATTTCACAGTTTTGAGAATTTTGCGTTTTTCCTGTGCTTGTGTCTAAACTACAAGGCTACTTTGTCGATGATATCGATACGACATTGCTTTGTAACATTTCCACAAATTACCAATGAATCAACCTACAAATCATCAGTTAGTAGGTATTTCATGTAAAACAAATTTTTATGAATAACTCACAGTGAAATCTCTACATTATTTTAATGTTGACTAAAAACTCGATTTCAACGGATTGAACAAAAACCCCCAGCTGATTTAGTGATACTGTTCAGGTTAGGCCTTGTTGGTGCTTAAGCTCAAAACATAAACATAGATGTATATTCAAAATTCATCGAACCTGCTTATGTCCGAAACGAAATACCTGACATATTTTATATTATTCATTTTCATTCCCAATCATTTACATGGTGGAGGTGGTGGAACGTTCGAAGAATTTCAAAAAAATTTGTTAGTCAAATTTATACTATTCAATTTGCGATACGCTTTGTTGGACATTGATTAGCATTAAACTATCCAGACTTCGAGCCCGTTATTCATATATTGAGGTGTTAATCAGGTGATATACTGCGTTAAATAGAATCGTTGGTCCCTACCCCCCAACCGAACAAAAAAAATCTGTATGAATCGTGAAATTATATTGTCCAATGCGACAAACTGTAATTAAAAACCATTCACATTCCACAACGAACTAAGAATGTTCTAATCAACTTTACAAAATATACAAAACAATAGTCGTCGAAATGAGATATACAGGAATAAGTGTAATAAAATAATGTTATAAAACGGCGATTTTCAACCGAGGGCCCGTGGACCTCAAGTGGGCCACAGAGTAGTTGAAGAAGACTACAATGTTAGGCGCAAAAGTTATTTTACTTTTCTCTTCGCAAGAAAACTGCCCGTTCTTACTTTTTTATTGGTTAATAAGGTTATTTGACAGAATGTTTTTACTTTGTTGAGCAAGAATTGTTTGAACATAATGGGATTTGAAATCTACCAATCAAAATAACGCTATAAATACCACTGGAATGATACATAGGAAGGGCCATGAGTGCTAAAAGCATCCGCAAGGGGGCCACGAGCCATAAAACGTTGAGAACCACTGAAATATGACATATAATTGCCAAGCTCTTGTTACTGTTTCATTGGTTGGCAACGTGCAAGATAAGCCGATAAAATAGTAGACTGAAAGGAAAAAAAGTGATTCTTTTCCATGCGATTCATATTTAAATTAATCTGTGTTTGATTTTGACTCTAAGTTATAGATTCTTAGTTTTAGATCCGTTTCCGTTGCAATGTGTTCTGCCATCATTCGTGAAAATTGAAGTCGTAATTTCTGAAGCGATTTCTCTAACCGGTCGTATTTTTGAACAATATCTGCGAGAACTGAATCTTCTTCGTCCTAAATTGAACAATAAAAGCATTATAAAAGGAAGATATTTGTGTAATTGAACCATTTTATCTTTTGCAAAAGGTATAATATGGGAACGCAGTTAGGATGACGTAGACAATTGTTATGTAGTTATATTTATAATATTATCAAACGAAGCACAGTAAAATTGAGTCGCAGTTCTTGCTACTTCATGGCAGCTCCTGCCACAAACGAACTCGGCGTCTCTATGGCGCTATACAGCAATCAGTATTACCGGTATATTCACAACGTCATGTACCAGATTTTTGTTTATCGTGCAGAATTATATCTACTTAAACCTGAAACCTAACCCTAAATCCATCAAAACTGTATCCATAAGAAAAATGTTCCAACTTACCCAATATTTGTCACCACTAGCAGGTGCAGCCCTGCCCTGGTTACGGAAGCAAAAGTTTACCCACCATTAGTTTTCAATTTGCTGCCGTGGTACCGGCATCTCGCCATTAGTTTGTGGAAGCTAAAAAGCCAGTCGCCGTGGTTTGGCCATAGTGGCCATGGTTTCAGACGCCCGGCAGCTTCAGACGCCACAAAATACTTAAAACTGCACTCAGTAAAAATGGTAAGTCTGTATCTAATAATAGTTAAGTTGTACTTACGTCTTTAACTGCATTATCGACGAGTCCGTCTTTCATTAACATTTGCCTTCCGTTAGCTTCTAATACTTTTTTAGCTTCAGGATAATCGGCCAGTACTTGTAATAAATCATCTTTGGATAGACAAAATAAATCCGAGTATCTGCAAGTATAATATCACTCCATACTGTAGCAAGTGCAACACGATCTTTATAAACTGATCAGTATTTATCATGCTACAATTTTTGTAACATTTTTTGCGAAATTAGCTCGAGTCAATAAATATAATATTGATGAGAAATGGAATTTCATGATTCTATGCTCAGCGTGATCAGCGAACCATTGTTTGCTCTCTGGTACGCACCGATCATTCACGAAATTTCAAATAATTAAAAAATGAATATGTTTGTTCTCACCCAAGACTTTTCACGTTAGCAGTTCTGCGATTTCCTGTTTTATTTCCGGGAATATTAAGGATACTGATTTCCCCAAAGTACGCTCCATCTCCAAGTACGCATAACTGCGTTACGCCGTCGTCTGCCATAACTGCTAGTTTACCTGCTCAAATGGTCTTCGATTATTCAAAGATATATATATTCAACCATAGGCTATAGCAGATTTATTTTGAAGAAATTATATTATTATGATATTGTTAGTTTATAGTGCGTTACGAATACACGAATGTATACAAACCTTCTTTTACAATGTACATTTCTTTGCCAATATCTCCCTTCCTGCAAATATAATCTCCTGGACTGAACACCTGAGGACTGAGTCTCAGAACGAGTTCAATGAGTAAACCAGGTTCACAATCCTGAAAAAGGGAGACAAAATATTGAATGAAAAGTGTTCAAATTCCTATCAGAAGTAACCAACGAGGCGAACGGTCAATTATTCTTTAGAATTTAGATAACCCTTCTGTTTGTAAAGTTAGTAGGTACTAACTACACTTATTAGGGTCTGTGGTTCATGAGTCACGTGACATTTCTAAACGTGCCAGGAACGCCCCTCGAATATAGTTTACTAGTCTAGGAAGTATATTCAGTTGATACATCGGCCACACGTCCCATTCTAAGACCCCGACCACGAATCATACGTTGAAGTGATTGCCTATTATCATTTCTCGTGATATGGGAATTACCAAATTGTTCAAAAGAGTTATACTCTATATTAATGAACTAGAGCTATTGTGAGCTAGATTTTATCTCCCTTGACGAAGAATACCAACTCTATTGCAGTTTACTGCTAATCTAATTAAGCGTTCCACAAATATTTGTTACCTTACCCGAAACAGCGATACTCTTTTCAATGTTTCTAAATGAACGTTGATAGCTATTTCAGCTCTAAGTTTATCAGGAAGTGTTGAGAGTATTTTACGTTCGTCTGCAGATTTTTTATTTGTTCGTAAGTAGTCGAACCATTTTATCACTCGTTGTTGAAGGGAATTACTAACTTCCCGAAACTGAAAAAAATACATCAGTAATTTATAAATATATTTAATTGGTACTGGGGCATCAATGACGTATTTTTTTATTATTTAAAACAAAAGTATGTGAATTCATTTGAATTAATTTAACTCAAATATCGACTTTGAGTTGGTGTAAACCCTCTTATCGTGTGCTGTCACACGATTAACGTTCTAAGAGCAACTAAAACAAGTACATACATATGGATATTCTAACGTTTAAGTTTTTTTTTTGTAGACATCTTAATATGCTGTCATCTGATCTTCGACATGTCAATTTAACATAATATTAGGAATTTAATATGATCATTCATTACATTATGATTACATTCTCCGTATGATACTGCCGTATAGAATGCCAACCTGCATGTATTGTTTCACTGCGTCCATTCGACTTTGAAATTCAGTTTTTGCGGCATTCATATTGCTAATCATTGAACCAACATTACCAACAATAGTTGCGAATATCAGAACTCCAATAAGAAAATCAAAGATCTGTAAAATATTTTTGAAAATACACTAATATCAATATGCTAACTCATGGCTGTTACTAAAATTTTCATTTTAAATGATTTTTTTGTTTTATTCTATTTTTTTTTCACGAAACGACTACTTAACTAATATATTTCCAATTCATTTGGCTCACCCAAAGACATATTAAAGATTTACAAGCATTAAAAACCTTGACGATTGTTTACAGCAAGTTATCATGTGTGGTTTGATTTTTAGTTAGGAACAAAATTGTACGTTTATCTAAAACCAGGAAATAAATAATGGAAAAGAATAACACAACTATCATTCAAACCTGAAATACATATTCAATGTCTTGTTCTGGCGTTGGGGTTTCTCCAATTGTTGTCATGGTAATTGTTGACCAATAAACACTGTAGATGTACTTTCGAGAAAGGGTGTTGTACGGATATATAGTTACATTTGGATAAACCCACCCGTCAGTTCCAAACCTTAAAAAAACGATTTTTTTGTCTTAGAACTTTTAACAATACACAAAAATTATCGCAAGTAATACAATGATATTTTCTAAAATGATAACATGAACCCTGAATTTACATTTCAATATCATGATTTTTTATCATGATATAAAAAATTTCCAATTTTCGTCAGCTACAGTGTTGAATTTTTATAAGGCTGACTTTTCTCGATGCAGAACAGAAGACTCACCCAATAGCACTGGATAGAGCATAATAAATGCATGCATTCCAGTGAATAATAACGACAATATACAGCACAAGAATCGATATTCGAAAAAAGTTTGGAAAAGACGTTCTAGTTTCTGCACGTTCAAAAAATTCGAATGCTCGAGAAAATCGAAGAATTCGGATCAGTCTGCAAAATAAATAGAAATGAAAAGATATCTTGTAGATTGGTCAAGCCATATTTCAACAAAGTGAAATATTGAATTACAGTCACATTGTCACACAAATATTTATTCAATCCAAACACTAAAATTTATGTGTTCAGGTACGGTGAACCACTCTTTTTCTGCGACTTTTTCTTTCATTCAATCCTAAAAAGTTGCTAGAACATTTGCGGATTTATAAAATCTATTAAAAGAACAGAATTCATCCAGTTTAGCTTTGCCAATTTCGCTGAGCGAGAGTTTGAATCCAAGATGTTTAACCTGCGAATCCAACATACCCAGGTTCAAATCCCGAGCTGTTAGGACATACACTATTCATTTCGTCGTGGATATTATATTATATTTCATTCCCATTATTGTCATTTTTATTATTTTACAAGTAATTTGATGAATTATTTGAATGAAATATTGCTATTTGGTGTTTTTATTTGGTTATTATCCGTTGTATTTTATGGCATTGGAATGAATAAATTATCCACAAATAAATAAATATTTATATTCAAATACCTGCATATTGATACATTGGAACCTATAAAAATATACAAGATATCCGTTGGTAAAATTGATACAACGTCGAATTTGAATTGCAAACTCTTTTTATAGCGTTGTTTCAACCTTTCCGTGTCTTGAACCAGCATACCTTGTTCCAGAAATCCTTGAAATATAAATACAGAACAAATGGTTGGTTAACAAAAATATCCATACAATAGATCAGATTTGTTGAGGAGAATTTCATATAGTAGTAATGCAGGATTAATAGTATCGAGGAAAGAGCAATAGTCGCGGTATACAAAAAGCTTTCTAAAACTATCGTCATTTCAAAGTCTAGCAAGAATTTCAATTAATGGTATTACAAACTAAAATGGTTACTGCAACCTGACTAACGAAAAGTCCTTTTTTGCATTAGCTTCGATAAATAGCATGCATCACAGTTGATATTCGATTTATTCGAAACTCTTATAAAATAATCATAATGTGGCCAAACAGGTAAAGGCATAGGGAGTTAAATTGAAATTGCGGGAAACAATAAAATCACCAATTCCTCGCTCAATGTGTAATACAAAAGTACAAAAAATATTACCTGTTCTTAATTTTACGATCATATCAAGAACGTATATTCCATCGAAGACATAATCAAGCGCGATCCATAGTTGGTAATAATCGGTTTGTAAGTCGGGAAAGCATGATCTCGCAATCACAAAATATGCGTTGTATTTAATTGCTATTGTAATAATAACCAGCCACCAGAAGTAGAATAGTTCCGAAGGGTCGATGATCCAATGTCGTTTAGTCGTGTTTTGGAAAACATTACTTGAACGAAAGGGAAAGTTTGAGATATAAGTCGAGCGGTAGAATTAGTTTGGTAAACGTAAATCGTATGAAAATTGTAATATAGCAGTGTGCATTTTTACTATGAAAGTCTAAAGAGATTTAAAAAGACTAAGAGATAAAGATTTATTGAAAATTTTGCGATAATTGCAATTACATGACTACATCAAACTCACTAAATGAACGTTATATTTCATATGTATTTTTTTAGTATATTGTCTCGATAACACATTGTTTTCCGTTAAAAACGTAAAATATCTGTATTTGGTACAAAGTTGATGCTATTATTCCAGTGAATGCTAGCAGTTCTTATATAATATTACTTTTCTCCAAAAGAAGATTCCCCCGAATGAGAAATACTTGAAGGTCCATTGATACGAACAATGAAAGAGTCTTGTTTAATGTCATCAACTTTACTTGTTCTTCTTTTAATCCAGTTTTGTATTCTTAAAATTGAAATATTTGCTTATTTATGTTTTATTCTGTACTATTATATAATCTCACTAACGAAGCTTTTATAATTCTTATAATGCAAATTCTCGTTCATGAAAACATTTAGATTAGAAGACATCGCTAAAAAATATTTTCGGACAATTTTCGACCAAACGCAACATAAATATGATAGTATAATACTTATATTTATACACTAACCTTCCATGAAAACCAAATGGATTTGGAAGTTTTATCATTCTGGTGAAAGACGGAAATTTGTTAATATCTAGGTGAACTGGATCGCAAAATGCTGGCATGCTGAAAGACGCAATAACAATCAATTTGTCTTTCTCCTGACTTGATGTTTAGTAAAACTTTATAAAAATATTATTTTTTATTATTATATTAATGAAAAAAAAATTTATAATCAGGCGTTTTATTTTCAATGCAAAACATTTTAACACCTTCTACTAAGATTACTACAAAAAGAGCGGTGCTTCCGAAGTATGTGCACCAAGATGGCGCACAACCTGAACATAGTATGTGTACCAGGTTAGGGTTCAGGTTGTGTGCCATCTTGGTGCACATACTTCTGGAACGCCAAAAGAGCATGTGTCAATTAGTTTCAAACTATTTTTGACGACGAAAATAAAAAGTAATATTAACACATGATATCAGGTTTTCACGCATGAAGAAAAATTAGAGTTCGCACTTGACTTTAATTAATTAATAAGGTTCATTCCCAGCATAACCGTGAAACCCATTATTGCGTTCAAATATTTCCTCTAAATTTCTATTTTCACTCTTTTTTTTCTCGATTTACTCGCCTTTTTTTCGTGGTATAACTTTTGCTATTTGATTGCTCACATGAAAAGTTTTTCGCTGGTTTACTTTTTATTGAAGACATACTAGTCAGTAACTAAATGATGTCTTATCCAGAGAATGACCCAATCTCAATCTCTCGCCTTCTCTACCAGGTTTAAAACCGAAGAAAAAAAAACATAATTCAAGTATCTATACGTCTGTTCGAGACATTGTCGCATTACATGTTTGTGACAGTTAGCAGTTAGCTCTTCCGTTAATCCTATTTCTGTCATATCCTACTGCCGACTCAGCCGCTTATTTTGTCTTACGACTGTAAAGAGATTTAAAGAATTTTTTCAATCTTCATTTGTTTATTCTTCATATACATAGTGGCATTTCTCTTTTCAATATGTCGTTGTTTGTGTTCATTATATTATCCTTTAATAAAGCCACTTTTGTGTTTTAACATCAAGGCACAAATAGAAAAAATAAGGCGCGGAGGTCTGATATGTTAAAAATTAGCGTTTTGTTCTGGAATACTTCTTATGAAATTAAATAAAACCACATCGCTCATAAATCTTTGCAATTCAAAGTAGGCTGATTTACATAATACCAATTTTTAGTAATCATAAAGAATGTAATATTCAAACATGTTCTGTCTTCTTGGTCTTTTTGTATTGTTCATGGTTGTAACGATGAGTATGCTTCTTCATTTTGCAAAATTTATTAATACATAATACTACATCCAGAAAAATTTACCTACTCATTTAGTTCAACAAATTCATAGTTTGTTGCGTACTCCGTTAGATAACAAACGCTGATTTGAACATTTTTTAAAATCGTTCAAAAAATATCAAACATCTTGAAAAAATTGCAAAAGACAGTAAATTATTGTATTTTGTTAGCATATATTAGTACACGAGTACAACATTATTTTCAGGTTATATAAGACTGGGCAAGATTGTTTTGAAAAGTCTATTTATGTTTTCTCAACTTATTCCTTCTTTCCTGTGGGACACGTGGTTTAAATAAGTTCAGATTTAATGTAAACAAATTGATTACTATCTTCGACATTCTCCGCAATAGAATTTCATCCAAACATAATCGAAACCATAGAGACGGCAACAACGAGAGGCAAGCACAGAGAAAACTTCAAAATTGTGCTGTCGCTTGTTGTACTTTCATAAGGAATAGTCGTAGCTGAGGGGCAGACATTCTGATCCTCTCCAATTTCGGAGAGTAATTTCTGTGTCTGCAGGCAAGTCTTGCTTGGTTTAACGTAAGGTGATGAGATGTTTGTTACCTCAAACTGCTTGATAATCTATAAAAGGATAAAGATCATTGTATCATCTATTATATTTTATCTAGCGTAATATCTATTTCAATTTGGAAACAAAATTGAAACAAATTTTGATTCCGATAATGGAATGATGTTCTCATAACTAAAACTATTGTTAATGTAGTTACCGATTTGTTTTTATCCAACGGGATACAGACTTCATAATGTTTTGCTGTGTTGTAAAAGGTTTCAAACTGTTGAATTTTTTCCTGAGTCCAATTCAGCTGGTAACGAATATATATAACAGATTACTGAGGGGTGTTTTATGTAAAGTAAAAATACAATTTGTGCTTTTCGCATTATTGTGTTCAATTAGATTATCATTCACCGCCCTATAAATCATACTGCAGTCCTTGTAAGTAAAAATATATAAATTGTGCTAGCCAGTAACTATTATATGTAAATTTTATATTGTAAAATACTGCAAATAACTTGCCTCACTCAGGTATTCAAATACAGTTTTTCCGGATACTTCGGAAAAGCCCACAAAACGGTATGACTTTAGTAGTGACGGGTCGGTTCCAGCTATGCTGTAAAATTGACAGTTTGGTTAAAAATAGAACTGACGAAATTTAACTCATAATTCAAAGACTTACTGTTCTATCTCGGTCATATTTATTCCAAGATAAGGCCAAACTAACTTATATGTAACTGACGATACGCAATGTCCCCAGTCAAGTTTCGGATAATAAAATACATAGGAAAGGCACATTTCTTGCATTGTACTGAGTCCTCCCTGAAATTTACTTTATATATACCTGCTGTAACTTTTATTAAAGCAAATTTACCAGGTTCATAACAAGGTAGGTACAGTAGATTTATATAATGTAGATAGTTGAATGAAAGAGATCCCTTGTAAAATTTCTTTACACTTCACACTTTCAATTGAGAGATCATAGAAACTTCCTTCGAGCAAGATCTTTCACAAACGAATTATAAAAGACACAATTGTCAATTGTTTATGAGCGCTGACCTATGTCTCCTTGTGGTGACTCTTCAGTAACAGTAGAGAGAAATGAGATTGAACTAAATCGGTGTTGCACAATATAACATTCAAACCACATTTTTACATCAATTAGTAAGCTATACTCTACGTTATATTATGTTTGCTGATAAATTACCTCAGTGATTGTATCTCGGTCTTCGGTGTTATAAACACATTCCATCTGAAAAGAGTCTGTGTTTTTTACAACCACTGGTGGATGCAAAGCTCGAGAATCTTGATAGTTGAAGTCATAATTATTATCCATAGCGATGTAAGGTAGTTCAACCCCGTCTCTAATAAAGAAAATTGTTTCAAAATACCATCCGGAATTTGTAATATAGAGTAAAAGTTATATAGCAACATCAACAACATATTGATGTAGATAGATAGATGATAGATATATTTATCTGTTTCCTGAAACATACCTAATATGTCTCAGTCTTAACTTTCGTCCAGCAAGATGAGAATGAAGGACGACATTGACTACAGTGATGTTTTCAACTCCAGAATCTGTCATTCTCTGTATAAGAAATAGTATGAAATGGTAATCTAAGGAGTTTATATAATTCGAAACTTTATTTCGAGTTCATTTTGCATCCTATATAAGCATAAAATGAATGACAATTTCAGTTGATATTGGTATTAGTAGAACGCATATAGTTACATACGTTATCAATGCAGTCTGGTGTACAGTGTGATATGCTTGTAAAAGTCTCAGCTCCAGGTGGTATGATGTGGTCAAGCCCAAACACTGCAGACCCAGTCTCCAAAACACCTATGTCATATTTTCTCAAAGTTGAAGTGTAGGTGAAACGGAGACCAGAGTTGTCGATGATTCCTATGAAAATATTGCATCTCAGCGTGGTTTGATTTGCAGCATGCGGTTAGCAGTAAAAAACTTCAGTACAAAAAACAGTGGCGACCTAATTTACTCTCGATTTGATTGTCTTGTTACATCATTCTCTTGGAGGGCAATATAATTCGGTCTGCCACAGTAGTTTCATATAAAAGGTAAGTTTAAAAACGAAATTAGCAAATTATCTCAGCTTACTATATTCTCCGTTTTGGAGAAGCTATTAGTAATATCTTATTCAACATAAAAAATTTTTTGCTTGACGAAGTCACTTAACCTACTTAACATTGACATGAGACATCTTTTCACTTAGTTTGAGAGGTGGAGACTATATCGCTGATGGCCTAATCCGAAATATTATAGATCCGATTAAATGAGGTTTAACAGTTAGTTAATTTTACAATCAAATGGTAATCGGATATAAACATGTCAAAGTGAGAAATACAAATTCAGCAATAATTATTCATTGCGTTTTTCGCTAACCTGACTCCAAATTAGGATTATCGTAATGTGTTTCCAGTTGTATATATATTGGATCATTTTCTCCACCAACAGAAAACCCTGCTTCGTAGGGATAAACCACAGCCTGGTGAAGGAAAATATTGTATTTAGGAAATGAAAAGTGATGATGTATCTTTAGAAAGCCACGCTTTCCTCTATTTTAGCCAATCGATAATGACAAGACTGGAAAGGTCTAGATAGAATTTCAACCCAAACTGAATTACATTACAATCTTCGAGTCTGAAGGAATGCAGATATTGTTTACTTCAATTCCTAAGAATTATACTTATTTTCTTGATTTCAAAACTATGGTGATGCAAACACAACAACCTAACTTACCTGACCACCAATTGCCCAAATAGCTATAACGACAGTGCAGGTTTCAAAATGTTCCATGTTAGGACTATAACAACGTTCATCCACTCCAAGATCTGTTTTATTCTGAGTAAGAGTAAATTTTGAACATAATTATTTCACACAGAAACAATATACATGTAACTTTACAGCAACAAAAACGCAAAGCGTCTCTCTCCTTTAAAAACATTTAAAGAACGTGATACGCCTTGGCTTATAATATTCAACTCCCTAACAGCCCTGAAGGTGCTGATTTGGATTGTTCCGAAACCAGTTTTAACAATTATGTACTTTCTGTCTCAAGAATGATTACATAGCATTCCATATTATGTCAGTAGTCGTTTTCAATATATCAATAAACTACTTTTCGTAGTTGAGGACTATCGAAAATTTTCATAGCAAGATTCTATTACTTGTTTGTGTTTCGGACCTCATAAAATTTGTTCGACATGCTTATTTATGACATTTATTAATAAGGTGGAACCCTATAGAGTATAGGCACTACATTTTAATGACTGAATTGGCCAGACGTTGAAATTTCGGTGAATGGTGAATGTTCACCTGTAAGCTGCCTATAAAATGCGGTGTAATACTTAGCGATTGTAGTCTCCTCTTATCAGCAAGTCAACCTATGTATATTTGATTTAGAAAGGGCAGATGTTTTCTACATATTCTAAACAACAATTAACGCAAGTACTTTACCTTCAGAACATCTCCACAACGATAAAGTAACATATGGTGAACATTAAGCTCATTTCCTTTTTGAATTACTGGTTCAAACTAAATATGGGAATGAAATGAAAAAATATGTTTATATGTTAAAATTATTAAAATAAACTTTGTTTAATGTATTGGAATTAACAAGTCGTATTGGTAAGTTAAAATAATAATAATGGCTTGTTTTCAAGCAAAATTGGGTACAAGTTGAAAAACAATGATATTTTTCCGTCTCACCGGATGAGCGCGATAACAACCATGAGTTATATATAGGGATGGGTTGTCAAAAACGTCGTTGTCCGTAGCTTTTCCGCGAATGTGACACTTTGCTTTGCCAGGTCAAAATGTTTAATTTCCGGAGTAAAAAAATAATTTTTCAGCAGATATGGACCTGATACCGAAGCTGACTTGCGAGTCAGAATTCAGATATTTTATTGGAATTTCTCAGGGCGCTGAGTCAAGAATAACTTTTTCGAAAACAACATCTTCATTTAGAATTTAGATGATAGGCTTTATGTCTTGTATTACATTCTTTTACACCAACTACACATAAAATACGAAATTGAAATGACCAGCATATTTCTATATTAACTAACAATTAGACAATATTTTCACAAAAAACAGATAAGTAACTGAACATCATTCAAATGAATACTGACCTTTACTATGTGATGCTTTTTCGTAAATGCGGGAAGTTTAAATAGCTTGCAGTTATAATATGTATCATTTGCAGGTATTTTGAAATCCGAAACGAGTATATCAAATGTTTCATATACCGGTCCGACTGGAAGATCCGTAGGCCGTTCTGGAGACTGTAGAAAGTACATGCTTTCTGCACCTAAATTAACGTAACAAATCCTATTGTTAAAGTGAATAAAAATATATATATATACTCATAACAATAAAATCCAATGTTATATTGAGTTATTTTAGGAAAGGTTGGATATGTAATAACATTATAAAAATTTAGGTTACATCAAAAGGTAATTCATTCATTATTTTGACAATCAAATAAGTGTATATATTCGACCGCGTGCCCGCGCGTTAATGAAAAAATTGACATTAAAGATAAATAACTTGACTTCAACTGGACTAGATAACTTAAGGAAATAAATTAATATGAAGTGGTGTAGATGTCATGGAGGATATGAGCTAATAAATTGATAAATAACAATCGAACACTTCTTCAACAATAGATTTGCCCTTTCGGTATAGTCTTTTTTGTATGAACACCGGGAAATCACAGTTAGACATACATCACTTCATTACACCTTAGTCTAGTAATTCGTAGCAATAATGCTTCTCACGAATTTAACAATTACAATCATTATTCTGATACGCAGCAGAAATTTGGTAGAGTTCCAAGATTTGATAGGGATAATTATGTCTAATTTTCTTTTGAAATCAATATATGAAAATCACGTGATTAAATATACAAAGTAAATTATATCGATTACTTGCATCAACTGTATATTTTTTTTGTGCGTTTCACAATTGCTATGCAACTTATTTTACAGCTTTAAATGGACTCACCTCTTTTTGTTCCATGGTAATCATGAGGAACAATATCATTTCCAGCTGGATCACTATCACCATACGCCCAAATCAACCGTTGAGTACTTACCTTTAAAATAATCATAACATTTATGGAGATATAAAGATTTCTTTTCGCCTCTTAACGGCTCATTCCACCCTTCTGTTCGAAAGAAACTTTCCAATGACATAATATTTTAATTCATCAAGAAACATATAAAAAATCCAAAACGAGAATTTTACCTAAAAGCAAATTTTGCGATTGTCCCAATCGTTAGTATGCTTTGTCGCAATAACGCACAATATGTTATGCTAATGAGTCGGGATTTATTGGAATGGCTTGGACATAAATGAAGACTAATAATTGTAAAATATAAATCAATTGTGTTCATGCAGACCGAAGTTGTATTCTCCCTTGTGTAAGTTTATAAGCAAAATACCGTGATTTCCCTGTCATATTCTGTTTCACAAGCAGCAAGTTGTCGAGAAAATTTGAACATTGTCCAACCATCACACTCTGCTCCTCCTAATACGTTGATGTTTTGTTGAGGATCAAGAAGGGGAAAGGTATTGTCAGTGGCATGCCTATCCTTTATAACAAAAATAATACAATATACGATTATAAACAATGTAAACCCAATAACTTTTTATATATATTTTAGGATATTGTTCATGATTCTGGTTCATGGTTCGATTCATATTCGATGGAAATACGTAAATATACTTCAAGAAGCTCCAAATAAATAGGACGATAAACATGATTTGTGGAAGAAATCATATATATATATATAACGAGCCACAGTACTTTCATGAAACATTCATTCTTCGACGAGTCCGTAACTCTATCGTAGTTCTTTCACATGGTTCCTTATAACTAATTTAGATTTTTTACCGTTACTTTGACCGTTCCATTCTTTACCCATCCAACGAAAATATCTGCAGATTTCATAGCACCATTTGGTGAAAAACCAATTCCGATCCATCCAGTCGTCTGTCCCACAACCTATCAAATATAGAAAAAAAAATGGACAAATGCCTTTAAAATTGAATTCACTTCCTCCATCAATTGATTGCTCAAAATGATATATCTTGAGAAATTTACTCACCTCAAGAATAATATCCGTCTGGTTGAATTTCCAATACAGTTTTATATTCCCAGATCTCAAACTAGCAGAGTGCGTATAAGTTTCGCTCGGTTCCATTTCACATCTCACGCAAACCCATACAGCAATTAAAATAGCGATCCTGCATTCCATTTCACCGTTGTTTTTCAAAGGCGTACTGATAAGTGACCGAAGTTTTTGGAAGAACTTCGAGTGTTTCGGCGTGCCAAATGGAATGGGATATTGCGTGTCTATTGGATATACAAACGCTTCTAATCAATAAGCTGAAATATATTTTTGAGTACTTTATCGATATTCGCAGACCGGCTACATTGAAACAGCGTATATATATTTTCGGTCGACCTCTTTCAATTAAAATTGCAATATGTTCACAGATATAAATTGGACCTATTTACTCCTCTCAACCCCAATTATGAAGATAGTTGTTTGATTAGTCAGAGTAGTAAGTCGGAGCCTTTACGGACCGGGCTTTTTGCCTAACCCTACTTCAAAGCATCAAATATATGAATCTTGCAGGTTCTGAGTGAGGTTTAATTAACTGCGAGCAAATACAGAAATGTCTAATACCCAGTATGTATATTTTCCCCATAGGAGAGCATATTTGGCAACTTGGATAGATTGAAGGAATGGTTTGGGTTAAATTATAAGATCACAATTTTTTCTGATCCCACGCTTACATCGACGTTGAAGTTAAAAAGATTACAGCGTTTATTGAATTCCACGTATTTCTAATAAGCTACTTTTCTTCATAACTATTATACCCAATGAATTGAATTAGTGTGTCGAAGAGTGACAGATGGAACCCTCTGTTAATTTGCGACTAGACTACATGATTGCTTCTTCTGTTTGTTTGTTTCATTATCGAAACAATTCACTCAAACCTTGACAGTTTTTGTTGCGTTTTTGCTACCATCATTACTATGACTGTCCACTATCTGTTTTTAAAGCTTCAACGAGTTCTACATAATATTGGCGAAAATAAGTCACGCGATATAAGTAGTTCGAAACTACAAATGATAGGAGAGTAAACCTAACTGGCATAACCCATTCAGTCGAATGTCGGAGTAATGTTGGATAGCCTATACATGCATGCACACCCTGTTTAGATCTCATCCGAGAATGCTAAATCATTCGTAATATAATCCCGTTGTGCAGCAAAATTACCAAACATTACGATTATAGTTATAACTCTTGGTCCAGTATACTCAAATTTATTTTTTAATTGTCATGCTTTGTTGCCTATAGAGCCTGAGGCCATCAAATGTGAATGCTTAGACACAGACTGACCATGTATAACGGTGACTGGTTTGTGTTATACTTAGACACGAGCAAAGCTTTAATCTTGACTAAGAGATGGGTAATTATTTTCGCTTGTCTGTTGTATCGTGGTCACAAAATGTCTTTTAATTCTAATTATTAAAAACAAAATTACGAAGTTGAGAATTACGAGATTTTTGAATATACAAAATATGAAAACCGATATCTATTTACTTATAATAAATAACACGTTTTTATTTAAAAAAAAATGCTGAACGCGGATTATTCAAAAATTATTATATATATATATCATCACCTGGAATGTCTTGCAAGGCACTAGATTCATAAATTGCAATGAAGATGTCCTTTAACTGAATTTTTTGGCGAATATTTACACCTACAGTTTCATATCGAGCAATAAAGGTCTGATCGAATCGAATATTAATCGTTTGAAACGTGTAGAATAGATTCCGTGCTATCGACTGGTTAGAAAACAAATTATCATTATCGTCTTGGTCAGGGATCGGCAACCTATACGGCTCAAGTAATATAATCCGGCCCGCGGCGTTTCACTGAAAATAGTAACAACACAGCTGTAATGCAACAAAAAATGTCACATTGAATGACATTTGTAGTCGACCAAGTTCAGTGCACGAGATGGCGCAGTCTTCGCGCGCTGCTTAGTATTTAACTTCTGATCTGTGTGAAAAAAAAGTGATTCATCGGCCATCCATTCGGTTTTTAACTTTCTAAAAATGTGCGCACGGCAATGACACTTGCAACCCCTAATTTTGACCCACGAGCGACCACAGGTTACCGACCCCTGGTCTAGGTCTTATTTTAATGACGGGGTGTGGGGGGATGTTGCTTTTTTAAAGTGATGGCTAGGTTTATTTTCAGGATTTCAGGATAGGTCTTATTTTCGGGAAACACGGTACTAATAAATTTGCAAAGTAATGTGTAGGTATACGAAGAGAAGTCGCCAATTATCAGTCAAAAGAATCAACGCAGTTTTATACGATGGTAATGTTAAGCACATTCAATTTTCAAATTCTGTTTCATAGTTATTTCCTTAGAAATCCTTGCGCGCCGAGGAGGCGGTCGCCGAACTTGAGGTAGTGGCTTGCTCGAGGTACTTGAGGTGTGTAGTCTGAGAGATTCTCGAGTCGAATGGCTTAATTTCGGAAATTCAAAAATTAAAACGTTGTCAACGCGTCGCACAACCAATCAACGACAGACACGACCCGGAACTAGGTGTTGCTATAGGTATAAGAAATCTACCTCTGCGTAAAAGATTCGTGGATCGATTCTACGTAAATGAAAGGGTAGTACAGAAAGGTCGAATATGAAATGGGCGTGAGGATAATGTGGGATACCCCAGTGAATTATGGACAGCTGAAAATTGGTCCAGTTCTAACTACAGTCAAACAAACCAATAATAACAACAAATAGACGAAAGAAAAAGTGTTAGATTGTATACTACTATTACGATACAATGAATAAACATAGCTATCGTTCGAAAATCGTTTGTATAGGTTCGAACAGGAAAATGTATAGAAACAGAATATATTTAGCAAGGCGTCAAAACCTCGTCATCAGCATATGACAGTACTTATAATTAGCAAACGCTCGAAAAACCGCTCGGTAGAACCACAGAAACGTAATTTGGTGAAATTTACCAATATTGAAACATAAAAAAATACAAAACTAAGCAGTTAACCTTCTGATCTCGGGTGTCCCTGGGTCATTTTGACACCCCTCTTTAAGAGATGATATATATAAGTAGAAGAAAATGGCAAATATGCCAAGGGACAACTACCGTATATATAGGGACTACACTACTGAGGCAGTAAAAAATACTAGTAATATTTATACAAAATTGAGCAAGGAGAAGTTGAGACAGGTAAGAAAACCAAAAATGACAAATATGCCCAGGAATATCTTACCCTATAGTTAGGCTTATCATACGTCCGGGTTTTAGAAAGTTTTTCCGCTGTTCCGGCGATAGACCCAAATGTCCCGGTTTTGCAGTATGGCATTCATAAATAAGTTTTTTAATTAATACTAATACCAATTTCTTTTTAACGGAGGCAGCCGATTCACCCTTGATTTGCCTCTCACTTCACTAGTTCAGATAGAGAAAAAAATTGTTTTGTCATAGTTATGATATGAAGTATGAACCATGCGTTAATTTAACACCATGCTGTCGTTAAATCATTAAAATGCCGAAAACAATATGCAAGTTTTCTCATGAGTTTAATGATTTCCATTATTTGAAACAAAGACCAATAGAGAATATTTTAATAGGATTTACAGCAAATTTTGATGTCTGTAATCAAATATACGGTAAGCCCACTTATAGGCACAACACTGCTTGGCTGTAAAATGGGAAACATTGCTAGTAATTAGTATACAATATTGAGCAGAGAGGCCTCATTTGATTAGCTACTGGTGTATCGAATACTAATGTGCCAATTAGTTCTGCGATGTGAGCAGCTAGTAGCTACTAATTCGAGAGAATCCTTTACTACAGAATGAATCCCTTCTGTATTCCCATCAGTTCCTACTCATTCTGTTGAGTGGCATGACGTTCATGCAAAGAAATTAATTATGAAGGCTAAAAAAGGAAGTTGACGCTGATGATGGGATGAATAGAATCAATTTGAATGCGAGATAATATGTCCACAACAGTATTAAGCGAGCGTTTCAAATGTCTGACGTCATCAATATATTCGGAAATAAACTCCGATATGGCTTTAACAAGAGCATCGTTATCTATTACAAGTTGAAATTTTCAGACTTTTAGCTGCGTGCTTAACACTAAATGTACGTAGGTACATTTGTACCATGAGATTTTCACGATTATGCATTCGCCACATGAACGCATTCACAGTCATGCTCACGTATAATTGTGTTTCAGACAAACTTTAATTACCAACTATGAATATATATACATTCAAAATGAAGACGGGCTACAAATTTTAAGTAGTCCGTGTTCTTGGTGAGGGTCGCTACATCTTCACTGCTATTGCGACTATCACACTTTGTCGGTTATTTTCTTCCGATAAAATAACGCCAACGTAGTCGTTATACAATACATTTTATTTCCGCATTATGGAAACACAAAACTTGGTGAAACGAACAAACAATATAACAGAAATAACAGCTATAACAGCAAAACTTGGGAACAATGTTTATAACGCGCAATGCACGTGCTCGTATACAAAAAGTAACACAAATATTATACTTTTGAATAATAAAAAACTCGATAAGCAGCGGTAAAACCTTCTCGAGCGTTTCACGTGAAAAAATTGAGTCACAAATACAACACATGCAGATACCAACATTTAATGGAAATCCTAAATAATCGCATTGGGTTTGCAGTGATTTCGTCTTACTTACTATTCATAGGATTAGAAGGTAGGCTTATGTATTTCGGTAAAATGGCAATAGAACCTTTTTTACTTCAAAGACTGGTTAATGTTTATGGGTTCAAGTGTTCATAGATGCAAATATCCGCGGGTGCAAATGTCCATGGGTGCAAATGTACGCGTGTGCAATTGCACGTGGGTGCAAATGTAAGCGGGTGCAAATGTGCGTGGCGCAAATGTACAGAGTGCAAATGTGCACGGGTGAAAATGTCCATGGGTGCAAATGTCCGCGGGTGAGAATGTCCATGGGTGCAAATGTACATGGGTGCAAATGTCCGCGGGTGAGAATGTCCTTGGGTGCGAATGTACGTGGGTGCAAATGAATATGGGTGCAAATGTGCGCGTATGCAATTGTACGTGGGTGCAAATGTGCGCGGCGCAAATGTACTGGGTGCAAATTTGCGCGGGTGAAAATGTTTATGAGTGCAAATGTCCGCGGGTACGAATATCAATAGGGCATTTGTTTTTTCGGTATAATAAAAAATACTCGAAAAATACCTCAATATCGGTTGCACAGACTGTCTACACTAGCCATATTCTCCCGACATGGTTCATTTTTCGCTCGCAAAGCCTTCGCCGAACGT